AGTCAGCGTCAAGTCACTGTTTGAAGCATGAATACCGGATAGAAACTAAATGAGGCGCTCAGTTAATATTTGAACACACTTTCCAAAAAAGCTAGTAATGTGAAAGAAAATTATGGACTGAATAACGATGGCTATCGTCAAACTGAGTCCCTAAATCAAAATCGACCAAGAAAGTTTAATCAACCAAGAAACAATTTAAATGATAGAAGAATTTCGCAAAGAATAAATGATATGAATTTGGTTAAACGCATAAGCTGTGCTTGTATAGTAACTATTCATGGTTTAATCAATTATCTGACTTATCTAAATACTTCAGAGCTTGAATAGGAAATAGAATAGATGATTGTGTTACCCAAGGGACTAATATAGCAACTATTAACGAGCGTCCACAAATGAGCTGCAACAAGTATCGTATAGCGTCTTGTCAATCTCGCGCGATTATGTCTATCCGTGCGGCGGCCGATTGCGCCTAGCTAGCCGCATGTATGGCCATACTATAAGCTTACGATGGTGATGTGCTTTATTGCCAATCCAGTGGCATTCGTAACAACGAAAAAATAAAGACATGCGCACGCACAATGATCAGAGTTTGAAGGAATTTTAAAAACTTCAAACATAGACTAGCAAGGTTGGTGAATGTACGAGTCATATACGCCATTCTCTTTACCGCCACTTCGTGCATGTGATAGGAACACCCAATGAGTCTTACCAATATCAGATATTCCTAAGTTACGTTGCATTGTTAACGCTTGTAGCTGGTCGCACTCACAAGGTGGAAAAAAATTTGACCACACGCTATAAAAATACTTAAACTAAAGTAGCGTAAGAGTGCTCGAAGTTTCGTGCTGGTCAGTGGCATCCAGATGAGCAGCTCAGTTGCACAACAACTTTTTACTGGTGCGACAGTATAAGCAACACTGGAAACTGAGGCGCTGAGCTAACTTGTGACACGAGAAAGTGATAGGCGGTCAGCTACCTGATCCCAACATGTTCGGTAGCAAATGTCAAAGCGCTAGCACTCACAGGAGTTAATACCAGTAAACAGTACAGAGATAAATACGTAGACATAATCACGAAGGAAAATTGTCAAGTAATAATACAATGAAGTTCGTTAAAACTTGTGTCAGCCGAAACGGTCAGCCACATCAATATGAGAACTTCAGGATATATATAAGAAGAATGCATTATGACCCCAAATCGTGGAATACTCGGTGATGGAACCAAGTTCCTTCAACATCATTTATATTATTTGCTAAAAGGCTCAAAAGATAGCTAACTATAATCCTAACTAAGCGAGGAAATAAGAGTATTATGTAATTTTGCACATAAATGGCTAAAATCTCTAGAAATTATGCTGCTTGGAATTTCCTGGTTGCATAGGGAAATGTTTAAATTTATTGTGAGATCAATATTGAAGTGACCAAAATATCTTAGACTCATCGAAATGAACACGCAACTTATAACTTGAGAACTTGAAATGCTTCAAAATATACAGCTCAAATAACTCTCGATAGTCATAGATTTTCAAATTTCTTAATAAAAAATCGTGAGAGGACGGTTCATCCTGGAAAAAGGCCAAGTCTGTAAGAGGATAAAATGTCTGTTGTAGGGCATATGCAGTGCGTCGTAATCAAGGGCCTGTACAAGGTGTGACACATTTGCTGCCGGAGAAAGGCTTGGAAGAGAACAGGTTCATGATGCCGGGGAACGCATGCAACCTGGTCTTGTTTGTCAATAGTGTTACAGCGCCGTTAATATAACTAAAGCAAAATTTATTAGGTACACAACGCCTGGCAACGCTTGATGTAACCTCGCATCCGTCTGTCACTTGGACAAACGTCATGTGCGAGAATGTCAGAAAAAGAAGTCACGACTTACATTGGCTATGCAGCAAGAATTTGTCTGTTGCCAGTACTCGCGTGATCAAAAAATAGTGGCTCGTTCTATATTTACTAGGAAATTATCGCTCACCGAAGTTACATAACAAAGCACGCATAATCTATATACGTTTACAATAAAATATTAAATGATTCAATAACAAATAATGGCATTTACAGTTCTTTATACTCGTTTAACGATAATGCTCAAAATTTATTAAGAACAAGGCACACAGTCGACCGGCATATCTTTTGAAAGACAAAACATTCACATTGAGAGGTCAATGGATTATATAATATTAGCGGTCACGTTCAATCACGCCGGGAATTAATACAAAAATATATCATGTTTTCAGGCAGTTCGCAGGCACACTACTTAGACTCCTTATCGTCTGAGCAATTATAGGTCATAAAAAATTAGCTTACAAATTAATGATATAACTCAATAGTTAACTGTTACCACAAAACTAATATTCAGGGCAATAAATGATACCAGTTAATGTTCATTGTACGGCAGAGAGTTCGTGCGGGCTGGTTACGACCTCATGAATTATTCCTAAGACATGTAATCAAACGGAAGCCAGCGAGTCTGCGCTCGCAAGGGACGGCCGCCGTTACCGGGTCAGAGGTGACCAACCACCACGCAGCCAATCGCAGCTCCAACCAGGATACTACACCAATCGCGACCAACACTTTGCAGAATACCAAACACTTCAATAATCGGTTAGCACAACCCAATAATGAACGGTGATTCTTATAAATACGGCATCAACAAATATAAATTGTTGCCGAAAGAAAAATCGGGTATTCGTTATGAGTTGGAAGTATTTCGATGCTACTTATTTCTAAAGGCAAGCTGAGAAGAAAAATCAGGGGAATTCTACATGGTTACTCAACTGTGAGACGAGACACCATGCGTTAGCATAAATTTCTGAAAAGACTTGGTTTTAGTCGAAAGAACCTTCCCACAGCAATTATGCATAAGGCAGATGCAACAGCGCAATATGAAGCTTCATTGCAAAGTGAACTTTTAGCCAATTAGAGACGATAATGAGGAGACGCAAAGTTAATGGGTAGCTAGCAGGACATTTGCGGGCCACAACGGCTAATATGGTAATTTTGAAGGAAGTTAAAGTAGAACGGTAATGAGGTGAACCGAGGCCGTCGAGTCAACTAATGCAGGCTCTGCAACCGCTAATGTGACCTGTGCGCACTGCATGCAAACGTCGAAGAATATTAAAGAAATTATTAATAATATTATTATTAATAATAGTAGTAATAATTTCTTAATTATTAATATTAATAATATTCTTATTAAGAAATTTATTCTAAGCTACTCAAACAGATCATATGCTAAACATGGTCAATGCACCCACTGCCCGCTCAGGCTAAGATAATTGAAAAGTATTTAGTGGGTAATACGTGATGTTCGTTGGAATATGGTAGAAAATTATCATTATTTGGCATTTTACTCCCATTCATTGAATTCAGTTAGATAACCATTATCAAATAAATGCATACAACAAAAATTCATCAGGAACTGAACAGAAAGTAGACAATTTCAGAAATAAATTTAAAAATTTAACTTTGGTTTTGAATAATGTCCGTCAATTTAAATCCCACGATTCAGCCCCTGGGAACAGAATACAAAGGTATTTATTGAACACATTTCAAAAGATTTTCGGATGTTGACACGCAGTAACCTGAGAGAAGGCCGTGAAAGGAAGGAATTCTAAGAATTGCTCTGAACAAAATACAAATCTTGAGAAGAGGCCAGGAGGAGGCAGCTCGCTCTGTGCATGGAGGACAAAAGCCGCAAACGGCGCATGAAAGTGAAGTCGACAGAACAAAAGCTTCTTGCCAGATTCAAATTACTCGTAGAATTCCAAACGTACGGCGAAAGGAGAGCCTTGACGGAGCGTTCTCATCTGCAGATAATTTGTGATATAGAAATACAGCAGGCGGTTAATGGCCCAGGTACCCTTTCTGCAATTTTATTATCGGATCAAATGATGTTATTAAAATAATATAATCAGGAAATTTTCAGCGCAGTTAAGGTTATAATTGAGAAACTTTTTGATGAATACGCGAAGTGTAATGACTCGATATATTAAGCTTTTTCAGACGATTTCATGTCATCATTTGATTCTGCTAAGATTATTACTTGCACGAGAATGACTTCAATACATTCAGATATCGTAAATAATTGCCGGTATGCGTTGATGGCTATTCGAAACGATATTCTCGCATAAGCGAACAACACGATTTTGTATGAACGCTGTGCCTGCCTACCAACAAATTTACGACACAGATACAATTAGGACAAGATTGAACGGAACACGTTGGCCTTCTAATGTTTTTTGCGCCGCTCTTTGAATTTGTTCCGTTTACAAGTGACCCGGACGACTGGGATCCTTTACGTCTCATCAACCAGAACGGCGGTCGCTGCTCGTGAGTTACGGTCAGTCACGCTGACCTCATCTCGCCTCAGCGGGGAACTCGCACTAACATGAAGTCAGAGCCTATACGAAACGGCGGCGGCATGCTGCACCATACAAAGCATCAGGCGGTGGCATGCTGCACCATACTAAGCATCAGGCAGCGGCATGCTGCACCATACTAAGCATCAGGCGGCGGCATGCTGCACCATACTAAGCATCAGGCGGCGGCATGCTGCACCATACTAAGCATCAGGCGGTGGCATGCTGCACCATACTAAGCATCAGGTGGTGGCATCTCAATATTGTATGAAGCATCAGGTAGCAAAACCTAAAAATTACCATACACCATACAGAGTACGAGATGCAGAGAGCAGTGAATTAAAGCTTCCCAGTACCTCATGCATCTATCTAGTATATATATTTTGAATCCACTACAAAAATCAAAATCAAGCAAATAGTAAAAGAATCTACTTCAACATCTCTCAAATTTTGACCAAGTCACAATGCTCATAAGGATTATATTGATAAATAGTCACCTGACTTGATGTAACATTGGATTGGGTAACATTGGATTGGGTAACATTGGAACAAGTATTAAAATATTGAGCAGCCTACAGATGCGGAGTAAAATTTCAGTTTGGAGATGTTCACTAATATAATAACTTTGTGAAGTATAGCATACCTTCAATATTTTCAGTAGCCAAGATGACGATGGTCTTGACAGCAGGAACAGCCCAAGCTGCAACATGGAACCAAGCAGCATAGTTTTCAACAGCTTCATGACTCCACTTGAGACCTGCCATGAGGAACCAAGCCAGCGTCAGCACCACCCACCATATGGAAGCAGCCATTGTGAAGAAATAGAGTATCATGAAAAGTATGGTGCACACTTCCCTCTCCACCCCTTGTGTGATAGCACTGATCATGTTGGCCTGTTCTTCCTGTAGGTGGTATGGAGGAGCATATGGCTCATCACATGACACTGATGTGCCTTGGGAGAATCCCACCACATAGCAGCATGATATGCAGAAGTAGCAGAGACTGATGAATATTATTGGTCGTTCAGGGTATTGAAAGCGACTCATATCAAGAAGGAACGTAGCCACTGTAAAAATGGTTGGAGCAAGGCAGGCAGCAGCTACAATTCCAAGCCATCTTCTAGAAAATGCTGTTTCCTCAGCATCAAAGAACATTCCATCACAGGGAGCTCCACAGTTTTCAACGATGACATCACCAACACGAAGCTTATACTGTAGACTTGGAGGAATAGTGAAATACACAGGGCACTGAAAATCCATGCCTTCAATGACATGAGCTTTACCCTGTGGGTAAGGAGTTGTAGCAGAAACATTTTCCCCAACACACATCTCCTCTAAGGGATTTGCAGGGAATCTATCACAGTTCAGGCTATCTGGCCACTGAAAACCAAATTTATTCATGATGTCTTCACAGCCTTGTTTGGCAGAAAGGCACTTGGCACGGCAAGGAGGAAGCGGTCTTGGCAAAATGGTGCAAACCGGCACATAAACGCTACACAAGAAAAAGTGGAGATCAGGCGAACAGTTGTACTTTACCAGAGGGAAAAACTGGTGCACCTCTAGTCCTGCTTCTTCTTGTCGAACATGTCCCAACAAATTAGGCATAATAGTCGTGTTGTATTCTATGTCTTTGCACAGTGTAATGGTGATAGGCTGGCACATGTTGTGATGCGGTAAGGCGTCATAGTCGCTGACGCTCTCCAAGCGGCCCGAGGGGTTTCGTTCCTGGCTCAATACACCTCTTTTGCTAATTAATAGCAAAAATAAAATCAAGCGCAGCCAAGGCATGATTTTGAGGCTGAAACCACCACTTAGAATAGTAATGCACTTCTTACTATCAGGTCATGATCGTCATTTATTCTTGGACGCAAGGTAACATACAAATTCCCAGCGCCGACGAGAACACTCCTCACACCAACACTGTCACACAGCCACTGAATCTGGAGTAGGGCTCGGACTCGGGAGTCGGCCGTCGGGACATGTAAGCCAGCCATGGTTGCCAGATGGAGCCAAAAGAAAAAGGCCAATTAAGCTCACAAAAGGCCCAATTCGAGAGTAATAAGAAATTTTTAAATTCAATGTAGTTCTAACCACTTGCAGTGCATGCATTTACTCTCAATGCTTCCAGGTAGCAAAAAATACACCAATTTCACCAAGTGTACGAGCTGAATTACCGTCAATGCTACATAAGCCACCAGCCTGCAACGATTTGCATGTTACTCGCTGACCGTAAATAAATAAGGGTGGATAGCTAGAGGTCAGCATAACACAGTGCGATTCATATACCTTCCCGAGCGTAACGCAGCCGGGCATCTTCACGGCTTTTGACACAAAGCGCCCACTACAACAGCGCCATTCAGTCACAGGCCGGAGAGCATACAGGCCGGAGCAAAACTGGCCGGAGCCCAACAGGCCCTACCGCAACAGCTACTCCTAACGTAACCTAACCTAACCTAACCTGCGCCGCCTGTTGAAGTAGGGCTTGTTGCGCCCCGGCCACTTGGGCTCCGGCGCTGTGAAGCAGTGGCTGTGTTGTGCAAAGCGGATTTACTGTAAGCCGGAGTTACCCACAGCTCATTGATCTAAGGCTATGTGTAGATATTGCATGCTGATGGTTGGCGTTGGGCCCAGGGCCTGTTTACGAGTCAAAATTTTGTTACCCACGGCTGCGCTCCCATAAATACAACCGTATAATACACGTCAGAACTATGATATTTGGGATTCGACTGCCACCTAACAACTATAAAGCTTTTCGATTGCGCCAGGGAGTTTTGGCTCAGTTTTGCTAACAAAATAGATAGTGAAGTGGCAGGCGACATAAGTGATGTGGTGAAGTTTTTGGTATTGACGGTAGAATATTTATACATAACATAACATAGTAATGTCAGCGCTGAAGTGCGGGCCTGATGTCGCCTGTCGCCGATTCTTTTCCTTTTCGTGCCTTGTTCACAGAAGATCTAAAATCGTGTCATTTAACATAACATAACATAGTGATGTCGGCGCTGAAGCGTAGGCCTGATGTGGCCTGTCGCCGATTCTTGATCTTTTCGTGCCTAGTTCACAGAAGATCTAATATCGTATCATTTGACCGGATCTTTTCATGACTGACGATAGTTTGAAGTAGCTACTAGACTTCCACCGGGTTCGATAAGGAGCTAGGCATTTCAAATCTGAACATATATTTTTCCATAGCTTTATCTAGTCTGTTATGTCGGTGATTCGAAGCGAGAAGAAATTTTGTCGCGTGGAGAAGTTGCAGCGCAGTTTTTTTAGCTTATAGCCGTGGCCCCTGGTGTTGGTTCTTGTTTCAAATTCTAGTAATCCTTCGGGGACCTTGTATGTATAAACCATGAGTATACTTGTATGTATACTTCAATGAGGTCCCCACGCAGACGTCGATATCTGAGGCTTGGAAGCTTCTTAATCTTTAATATTTCTTCATAGGACTTGCCCTTCAAGCCTGGAATTATCCTTGTTGCACGTCTTTGAACATTTTCCATTAAATTTTTGTCCTTTTTAAATCTCGGTGACCACACAACGTTTCCAAACTCTAGATTCGGGCGGAAATACGCGGAAATGAAAATAAATTTAAACTCATTCCTGCGGTATAAAGATTATTTGGTCCTTGCCAGACTCAGGTAAATAATAAAAGTCAATCCTAAAAATTTATCACAAATTTTGAATGCGTTGAAAAAATATATTGCCTATCATAACTTGGAGAGGAGTAGTTATTATCATGGCTGAATTAATATAAATATGCAACCATGAGTTATTATATTTATTCAAGTGAAATTTGGGAGTGACTCACACCAGATGGTTGTATGCATCGAGAAACAGCGCTGTAACCTCATAAATTAGTGCAGAATTTACTACGCTTTAGAAGTGAAAACTATGCCATCCGTGGTTATTTTAATAAGAGTCGGCAACTGCTAATAGTCCCATGGCCGCCCGGATTAGGCGGCACTCGCTAGTGTTGCCTCCTAAACCGAAGTGTTGACACTTGACACACTTACGTATCGAAATTTGACTGTACCTACTCGTCTTGGGCAAAACAGATTTATAAGTGAAGGGGAAAATTATTACAAAAAAGTCGGGAATTCAAGGACTACTGTAGTAGTCCTTGCGGGAATTATATTTTTCATGAAAAAAGGCTCAAAGCGGCCAAATGAATTTGTCAAGCCAAAGCATATAAAAAAAGGCCACATTTGCTAAATTTGACCTGAAAAAGGCCCATCTGGCAACACTGGCCTGTATAAGGCTGGAAGCAAATCGCGTCGAGTCGCTAGAGGTAGAGGACGTGCTGGCTGACAGTACCCAAGAACCGAAGAAAAAGCACCGATTTGACATTTTTAGTGTATATGATTGTGTTTTACAAGAATATACGCTAACAAATTAATATGTACCACCATTATAGTGGAGAGGAGTAATTAGCCAATGCGGAAACTATGCCATCTGATTGTTATTGGTCATGCTAACAGTAGTTTTCGTCATTTCTTAGATAGAAGAACGATGAATAACTGTTAAACAAGGTTAATTCTGACAAATAAATTGAGAGCTTTGCTTCTTCATGAATAGATAGTCCCTGCTTTTTAAAAAGCATCCTATTTTGCTTGCCTTTTAGAAGCATCAAAAAAATAAATAAAAATACGCCCTGTGTCTTCACAGTCGTACTCAACGCTGCACATCTTTTAGAATCCGGATTGCCAGTTCGATTTTTGCTGATGGTTTGAAATGAAAGTAAGGTCGTTCTGGCAAACATAAATATAGATCCAGTGTAATACTAATCACGAAATAAAATGTGAATTTGCATCACAAAAAGAAGAAAAATATGAGTAACGACCTGTCTGTTTGGTGTGAATTTGGCATACTAAAGCGTGAGTAAACGGCAGGCGACACCGTCACACCGCGACTGACAGGTTTTTACCTGTCGCATTTTGTGCCCGTGATTTGCAGTTTTGCACTTCGCACTTCGCAGGATTGATTGATTCTTTGACTTAACGGTATGCTGTGCCTCAGACGAATGACGACTTGTATTGCTATACGGTGCAATGTGCAACAGTGTAAGCTACTATACAGTAATAACAGTATACTGTATAGCCTACTGAGGCCCATGGTCAGGAAGATGTGCCAGGTGCGCGGGAATTTATTTTGTCATTTTAACGACCTGTGCGGTGCGCCGTACTATGCTGGTAAAAAAAATGCGCCGTGCGCCGTACTTTAGAAAGCTAAAATAGTTCTACTATTTTAGTCGACAATATACGCAACTACGCAAGCATAGTGGCAAAGCAGAGAGTTTTTTAGACTCTCCCTCAAGTTCATTTTTGAGTCCTATAAGTAGACCAGTAAAGTATCATGCATAGTGGCAAAGCAGAGAGTTTTTTAGACTCTCCCTCAAGTTCATTTTTGAGTCCTATAAGTAGACCAGTAAAGTATCCTGGATACCAACATTATAATACTTGAGAAATTTGATTAAATCTCGAGTAAATGAGGAAATTAAAAATGAACTGATTCTAAAAGAGCTCTGGTTTGCCACTATGTACGCAAGTATATTGACTACGCGAGTCAAACTGACAATAATAAAATGTAAGACATGTCCGGGTTACTTCTGACTCTTCCGCTTGTCCGCCTTGTCGGATACGGAACGTACGGTCGGTAATCATAAACTGCGGCTTTATACATACGAAATGTAAACAGACGGTGTTCAGTGTTGCCGAATGACTTTGGAGAAAATTTCTTCTAAAATAAAGTTCTAGATTTCTCATTCACCAAATTTCTGTATCAAGAAAAATCATATATATTATTGAAAGATAATTAAAGGCATACTGTACTGAGTAATGTGAGTATTACGTCTGTTCCTCCACAAACTGCTCGTGTGCGGCAGCGTGACATAGAATTGAGATTGCGCGAACACGTGCCGCTGTGCGCAAAGATAATCAATTTTCATTACATTGCGCCAACTGTGCACAGCAATACCTAGCTTAAAAAAAGTGAAAATGCGCGGGAAAATTCACCGAAAACATACATCATCCTGAGTGTGGACTGAGGCTACTCTACACTCTACAGTACTATTTGTTTAAATTTGAGGTCTAAGCAGATAATTTTGTCAATCAAGTTTTTGTTGGCTCTGCAGAAATGCAGGTCAAGTTGGCTCTGCAGAACTGCAGGTCGAGGCCAGAGTCACCAAACACCAGGGTCACCGGCTCCGGCTGCCTGGTTGCTCCTCAGCTCCTGTGAGGCTGTGGGCAGCCAGGGCAGGCAGGACAGCTGAGCTCAGTGAGCTGAATTGCTGATGCCTTATAAGTTATACCGACACCATCAGGCCATCACACATAAAACATTTATATTCCCTCCTCTCATTCCACCCTCCTCACACCCAGGGCTGGAAAAGTCCTATGTTTGTCTGAAATATTTGCGGCTCTAATATCATATAATTTCAGTAGGTAAGAAATATCGCAGCTCAAATGTCATAAATTTTTGTTTGATTAAAAAATCACTGTTTGCACTTTGCAAAAATGTTACTTCATAAAATTGTCAACTTCCACAATCCGCATTGCTTTACCGCTCCTGCCAAAATATCCAGCAGAAAAAACATAAACATCGTAATGTAAAAAAATCAACTAAACATTTTGTTAAAGATCGTGCATAGTTGCACTGTTGCAGTCATGTCAAAGCAGTCAGACTGCATTAACACGTGCTCAACTTACAGTAAAGAAAAATTTTATCATTGCAATTTGACTGTTTTAGGGTAAAATTGGAGATAAGTGCATGGACTTTGTAAATAAATTTGCGCCTCGAAAATGGCTTTTCATGGCCTAGATATGGAATTCATGGCTTGGTGAAATGGAACACGGCTCAAATAAATGGAATCACGGCTGGCAAATCCATAAAACCACGGCTCAAAAAATTCAGTCGCGACTTGCCAAGTAGATATACCTATTCCATGCCTGCTCACACCTAGCACCCCTGCCCTCACACAAAACAGAAGGTTACCACCTCTACTACCATCATACATGCATTCATATTTTGGCATTGCTTCCATCTGATTATAGACTTTATAGATTTTATAGATTTGTTATCTTTATTTAATTATCAATAAATGGAAATTAAAAATAAAGGCTCATAGTTCAACAAATTTGTTCTTATTTTTAACATCAAAGGGTTAGAATATATTTACCTTTCAAGCTGTAACTAGAACTTTTCCTGCCATTTTTGAACCTTTCCTAAACTTTTCCTGCCATTTTTCCTGCCATTATTAACGCAAGTGCACAATCAGGCTGCAAGATTCCAGATGGATTGAAATTTTGTCAGCATGGAGCCGCAAGAGTCTACAAATAGGCAGGAAAGTTTGTATTGTCTGCAGTTATAGTGGCAGCTAGAGGCAGGTGTGGAACATATACTTTGCGAACAGCAAATAGAGCTCTCTTACCATATTTTTGAGTCACAAAATATTAGCTGGATCAGTGGTTTTCAAAGTGGAGGGGCACTGGAAAGATCTGGGGGGGGGCAGTGAGGAAGAAAAAAGTGGTAGGGAGCCATACCCAGGATGGTGCCGTTTTTCGCGGATTAATCCGGCGTAAACGAGGCTCCAAGCCCTTCTACTGGCGTACAACGCGGCGTACAAAGAGCTAAAATAACGTTATTGGCGCACACGCCCGGCGTACGTCCGCATCTGGCTTGTCTCGACGTACGTCTGCATCTGGGTGATCTGGTTTGTCCCGACGTACGTCCTCATCTGGTTTTGAGCATTTTAGTGCATACTAATGCGTTTTAAGGCGATTTAGGGCCTTCTAATGCGATCTAGTGCGTTCTATTACGATCTAGTGCGTTCTATTACGATCTAGTGCGTTCTATATCGGCTAAACCGATCGTAAATCGCGCGCGCTTGTGTCGATCATTAGGCATCTTCCACTTTGATCGCAAAGAGCGCGCATCAGCATTGATCATTGGGCATTGGCTAAAACGATCGTAAATCGCGTGCGCTTGTGTCAATCATTAGGCATCGGCCACTTTGATCGCAGAGAGCGCGCTTCTGTGTTGAACATTGGGCATTGGCTAAACCGATCGTAAATCGCGTGCGCTTGTGTTGATCATTAGGCATCTTCCACTTTGATCGCAAGAGCGCGCATCAGTATTGATCATTGGGCATTGGCTATATAGATCGTAAAGCACATGTGTTTGTGACGATCGCCAGGCATCAATCGTAAAGTACGTGTGCCTGTGTCGATCATGCAGCATTGGCGAGGGTTACACTTCCGTTTTTAGCAAGCACATTGGCAACTTTCTTCCCTGGCGTATTGGCGTACATCCGCAAACAAACCTCCGGCGTACACGCTGCACCTTCCTGCCCATGGGTAGGGAGGCAGCAGTCCAAAGTCAACGCCAGAAGTTTGAATGTTTGTTTGATGATTTGTACAGCACACAATTGTGTTGTACAAAACACAATGTGTTGTGCATGCAGCTTGTGGCTCCCAACACGTGCAGCTCATGGGTCCCAGCAATGGGTTTTTCCGCCCATTTGATTTATAGCGCATTTTCTCATTTATTGAAAAAATGCCCTATTGTGCTCGTCATGCCCGTCCGTCTGTCTGAGACCTGTCTGTCCGTGACTTCACATTTTTGTCAATGAGAAAATGTGCTCTCTGTCACTCACTGCAGTGAGTACTGAGTTACATTTCTTTTAGGCTTTCCTGGGTTTCTAGTGTAGATTTTTTAAATATTCAAAATCTGGGTTTTTTATATGTGTGGAAGGGTGCTATGTGAATATTATGTGTCTGTGAGTGGGGGGGGGGGGGGCACTAAAAATTTACTGGTGAGCCAAGGGGGTACCAGCCTACAAAAATTTGGAAACCACTGAGCTAGATGAATCATCTCCCATCTATATATATATATATATATATTTATCTATACTAGTCTTGCACAAAATGGTGCTAAATTCGAGAATTACAGTAAATTTTACTTAGGAGCCACAAAATTTTGGTAATAAATAGGAAGTTTCCAATCTTGCCACCCAAGTTATCAACAAACAGGCATGGATAGGCATGATGATGGAAGTTCAGTTGGGGTTTTAGTCTTGAATTATATATAGATATAAATGTTCTAGTAGCTGGGCTACTAAAAAATTACAATAATGGCTATTTTTTCTTAGCCATTTTTCTTGAGTTGCTAGATTCCAGCAAGGTGAATGTTCTTTCAATTACTGATTAAAGTATTTGATCAAACTGCAAGATTCCAAACTTATCTAAATTTGTCACTTTTGAACAATGAGATTCATTAACAAGTTCTCTTCCTACTGCTCTAAGGGGTTGATGGACATGAGGGCTTACTAATTGAGCCCTTTGGATATTTCATTATTGTTTCTGTTAGTCTAATTGAATGAATTATAATGCTTTAGCATTTTTGTAAACTGTTTGCAGGATCTTTATTTCTACATTTTTTCTTCCCTATCAAAGCTCCTAATAACCTGTTTGGAATCAAACTATTACCTATAACATTTTTTTTCAAGTTCATTTGATTTGTTTTTTATTCTGTGCTAATATTTTTTAAAAGCTGTTAGTTACCTTCTATAGTACCTACTGCAAATAATCAGAAGTTTTTTTTCTTTTTGCATGCTGCAGGTGTCCCTCAATTAGTCAAATAAAGTAAAGTTCCATCATGTCTGACAATGAAAGTAAAGCCCAAAATGATGAAAATGAAGAAAAGGGCCCTCAAATGCCTTTTTTTGTTGACTATGACAAGAGAGGTCAAGCAAAGTGTAAAGTTTGCAAGCAAAAATTTGAAAAAGGTATGTTACTTTTTTAATATTAAGGCATCAAATATGTGTGTAAGGAATTCAAGTAAAATTAAGGGTTTTTGAATGTTTCTGTATAATTAAGCAATAATTTAAGATCATATATCATCTGGACAATATGTTGTTCAACCATGACATTGAATATAATTTTTTAATTTCTTTTAGTTATCAAACATTATGTATATTTTTATATATTGTTGTTCTTTATGTTATTTCGAGTAAGTAGCAGCCATCTTAGCTGAACTAGGCATGAGTACAAAGTTCTTGTACTCATGATGGTAGTTGTGAATTTTTTAAATAATCAGATGAGCTGGAAATAAATCCCTATCTAGAACAATTTAAACCACTTTCATTGGACAGACCTCAACCATAAAGTTCATAAATAGGACTTTCCTTTTCTCCAATTAAAACTTGGTCAATCTTCAGTGTAAATTCAAGTACTGATGTTGTAGTAAATTAACAAAAATAGTGTGGGAGCCCAGATGAATAAGTGCTGTGGCTGTTTGATTAATGTTTATTGATGATATATATGAACATATGGGGTGAATATCTTGATGACCCAAAATATTGGTTATCATTCAGGTGTGCCCAGTAAATCAATTTGGGTGTTTCTTTAAGGGTTTGATTCCTCAAAAATACAAAATTTTGGCTTCTCTGTTTTCTTGGCTCATTTTCTAGCTGCTGAAAAGGCACGTCTAGGGCAGCAATCTGCATGTATGTGCGTGCTATAGTTTTTGTGTAAGATAAATTTAAAAATTTATGAAATGAACATTTTTTATCAATATGTGCTAAGATTTTTTTAATCAAATCTGTACATATAGATCATTACTGTCAATAATTGCTAAGTGTTTGCACTCATTTGAAAGCTACAGACAAGATGCGTTCAACAAAGCTACTATCACGGATGTACATGCAATACTTTTTGTGTAACTCAGTCTTGAACTTTTATAAAATGAACATTTATAACAATATTTACAATTTTTTATTTTAAAATGGTATTTATAGATTATTATTTGCATTAATTGCAAAGTGTTTGCACTCGTTTGAAAGCTACAAACAAGACGCATTCAAGCAAATATCAAGACGCAAAGCAAATATCATGGATATACATGCAATAATTTTTGCCTAATGCAGTTTTGAACGTATATAAAATGAATGAAAAAATCCCATTTATAGCTTACTATTCACAGTAAACTGGACAGGAATAAGTCTAATGATGCACGCTGGTACCCTGAATGCAAACAAATGGCAATGAAGAAACTTGGTCTACAATATCAATAATTTTTTTGGCATATTATTCTTTTTTCAATAAAGTTTATTTTATTTGGCTCCCCTGAACAATTTAAAGATCCAAAAAATACCATCTTAAAAAGTTAATAATTCCTGTAGTACCGGTATTCAAGCTACAGCATTGAAAGACCTATCATTCAATTTGTAAAGACCATACCTAGCGATTCTAAGAGCACTTTTTTTTTTATTTGTGCTTGGTTTTACTTATATATGGGGGGAAGGGGGGTGGTGGGGTAAAAATGTGAAAAAACAAAAAAAACGCCAATTGAAGAAAATCAATGAGGAAAATAAAAAATTGGGGCTCTAGAGCCACTAGGTAATGTTGTTACAAATTGAATGATATGTGATCTTGAATATGATCTTGAATATGATCTTGATATTTTAGCTTGAAAATCGTAGGTGGAGAATTTCATGTTTTCTTTAATTTTTTTTTTTAAATTCACACAAACAAAAAAGTTATTACTTTCTGTTTTACATATGTATACCAAGTTCCAAAGTGATCCGTCTGTAAATAAAAACGTTTTTTGGGGGGTATATGATCCCCTCAATGGAGAAGTGCAGTGCATCAGAAATGCTTGGTGTTGTCTCAATTAGCTTCTGAGACAACTCTTCTTCGGAGGAGGTGCCCCCAAAAGATTACAATAATAGCCATGTCATCACTCTTTACCATATAAACTGGTACTGACTTGTACATGATGAGCCTACCTCATCTAATAACCTAATAGACCTAGACTAAATTCCAATAATTACCGCAATTTATAGGTGAGGTCCGCATTGGGAAGTATGGCCACAACCCATTTGGAGCCGACACACCAATGAAGCTTTACCATCACATTCCTTGTCTTTTTGGGGCATTCAAGAAGGCTCGAGCTACCACTAAGAAAATTGACGATGTTCAGGTTAGTGGTCATTGCCATTAGGTTTTGATTTATTTATTTGATGGAATGTGTAATGATACAGAATTGACTAGAACTAAGATCCACATGAGTGACTGCTCTTACTCACATCCAAACATTAACTCTTTTGCAGGAAAGTTACCACATATGATCACTTAAAAGTTCCTTCCAAAAAAGCTCTGCTCCCCCCTGGTTTATGTTTGAGGCTACATTACCAGTATCTCGCCTCTGAAAATCTCCAATGCATCCATCCATCCATGCATAGCTACACTCCGGCCCCTGCCATGCCCAGGAATTAAAATATTAGCATTTAAATGAAAAATGCCCTTTCTGCAATTTTACAAAAAGTTGGAAGAAGCAATGTCAATTCATTTAATTTTAAGCAGGGTTGGCAATGATTAAATCAAAATGATTAAATCATGTGATTAAATCACTTGATTTTTTTATAAAAAATCATGATTTTTTCTATTTTTTTGATTTTTTTGATTTTTTCATATATTTAAATATATTGAGTGGCTGTCCATAATTTATATTGAGGTATTGTTATTCATGGTTTAGTATAAATGTACTATGAATGACAAATTGGTATATAAACTTGTTGCCTTTAGTGTGTATTAGGTTCCAATAAATTGAATGTTTTTTGTACAGAGCCATCAAGTGTGCAATACATTGTACATAGCTAGCTGCTTAGCTAATTCTTATAAGGCTATAAGTAGTCTGTATCTATTTGACTATTTGTTACCTATATATGGATTACAATATACAATTTGAATGTGTTAGCTAGCTTATATAGGGTAGGGCAGAACTGATTGAACAGTTTTGAGACAAAATAACAGAGTAATGGAGGCACATAAAGAAGAAAGTTTATTTTCCTCAAGATTAGCATAACATACCAATTAAAATACTTATGTTTTGAAAACAATATCAGGAGGATGGGGTTTGTTAGCTTAATTGCACTGTTTGAGTCGTTCTCGGAAGTTTTCTACAGCACATTTACACATATGGCAAGGTATGGCCATAACCTCTGCTGCAATAATCCGTTCCCTTAGCTGTGTGGTAGATAGGGTGTGAGGGAAACTTCTGAACCTCTTTCTTTTAGATGTCCCCAAAGAAAGAAATTGCAAATGCTCAAATCAGGTGACCTCGCAGGCCACTGTAAATCACCCCTCAGAGTCTGGGAACATGCCTTTCAAAACATTGAGTGACATTCAGGCTGTGTGAGCTGTAGCCCCATCCTGCTGGAACCACACGTCTCCCAATGCTTCATTTTCAACTATGGTTTCCACCCTGGGCTGCAAGAAATTTTGCAACATTGCAGCTTAGCGATCGGAATTCACTGTCACAGTTACACCCTCCTGTGAGAACGACTCCAACAGTGTGTTGCTGCTAATGGCCCCCATCTTCCAGATATTGTTTTCAAAACATAAGTACCCTATTCTAAATGATATGTTATGCTAACCTCTAGGAGGATAAACTTTCTTCTTTATGTACCTCCATTACTCTTTTATTTTACCTCAAAACTGCTCAATCGGTTCTGCCCCACCCTGTATATTGAGAGGTTGAGATTGTATTGACCTTTTAGGCAATTAGAAAGATTTTCCACCCTAATACGAGTATTCTTATTAAAATATTTACTGTAATTTCAATCTTTGAATATGTGAATTTAAAACTAGAAACAAAACAAGTACAAATTATAAGACTATATATAAAATAATTAAATGCAGTAATGGATATAAAATATTTGAATTGGGCACATGTTTATTTCAAACAGTATTAGATTTTCTCATAACTTAAGTCTCGTTTCAAGTCGTATGAGGTTTGTTTGGTTATCGTTCAGTTTATGTTTAGTACCTATTGGTTTATTGGTCTGAATTAAATGGGAACAGTGCAGTCAGTCACTACTAGTTGGTGTGTATAGAGGGTAGAGTCTGGTAGATTTATAGGACATAAAACTAGTAGATATATTGATAGTGCTGTGCACTGTGCTATCAGCTACAGTCACTACTAGTTGGTGTGTATAGAGGGTAGAGTCTGGTAGATTTATAGGACATAAAACTAGTAGATCCATTGATAGTGCTGTGCACTGTGCTATCAGCTACCTATCTGTTATGTGACTCTTCAATGTTCAGAAGATCTGCATTCCTGAAGTGTTTTTGTATAGTGATGCCAGTTAAATGGTCAATATTTAGCTCATTACCTTGCTCCATACAAACTTTACAAAGCTAATGAATAGACTTATCAATAATTGTTTACCCAAAAATCCCTAAGTGGTGAACACCACCTTGGCCTGTTGGCCATTATTGAAGGCAATAAGTGCCTTTTTTAGCCATCCATTATGATCCATATACTGTTATTGTTAGTAGGCTAATTGCAACATAAAAAATTACACTTCAAAAAGACAAAAAAGTTGAAAAAATCAAATAAATGAAAAAATCATGAAAAAATCAAAAAAATCATTGATTTTTTATTTATTTTTGATTTTTTTTAATAAAAAAAATCACCAACCCTGATTTAAAGTAACTGGAGAAAATTAAATCAAATTGCAGCTTGATAGTTTCCCTTTGCATTTGCTTTAATAAAGTAAAAAAATTCACTTTTTTTGGTAGTGACCACTTTTTAGCGCATTTTCTCATTTATGAAAAAAATGCACTATTGTGCTCGCCATGTCCATCTATCTGTCTGCCTGTCCATCTGTCTGTCCGTCCGTGACTTCACGTTTTCGTCGACATGAAATGTGCTCTCTGTCACTCACTGCGGTGAGTACTGAGTTATATTTTTATAGAATTTTCATTGGCAATTATCTCCAATGTCATGCAAAATTTTGAAAAATTTATGAAAGTAAATTTATCTTATAATTGTCTATACATTCTTGTGGTGGCTTGAGAAATTAAAATTTCTGCATATTTCTATGATACCTACAATAGGGTGAAAAGGAGGATCCTGAATAACATCTCTGGGTGTTTACTGGGATTTTTTTCAGGTTTGCCTGAAGGATGATGATGATAAATTTCTGGGTTTGATAATGATGTTATTATTTGAATTATTTTCTCTGAATTCAAATAAACTAAAACTTTGTTTAAATTGTAACAGGAAGATGTGGAAGGCTGGGATGAAGTTAAGACTGAAGATCGAGAAAAAATCTTGGATGCACTTAAAGGTAAATATTGAACTTCATTGCTATGTATTGATTTAATTTCATGTTCAAAGGTTTTGGAAGCATATGCTATAATTTTAGTTTGATATGTTGAATAAATACATCTATTAATATGAACATGTTATTTTATGAGAATTATCTTGCAGATTTCCAACAATTCTGTAAAGAGAAGGGAATCTCATCCAAAGTGACACCAAAGGCCCAGAAGACCAAGAAAGCTAATAACGCAACTCCTCCTGCTCCACACCTCACCCCCAAGAAAGGTGAAGAATCATAGGAGCTTTTTTTGGACAATAATATTGGGACTTAATTTTCATAATAATATTGGAACATTTTTCATTTTAAAACACGAAATGGAATATTAGTGAACTCAAAACCCCTTTTTGCTTCTTTTTGTTTTTCTACAATTATATTTCCAAAGTTTATTTGCTAATTGAAATATATTTTGTGTCTAAATTGATGTGCTTGACAGAGGTGAAACAAGAAGTGGGAGCTAAAGATACAGCTGAGATGGAGCCTCAAAACAAGGACAACAGCTTCAGAGAGTTTCGTCGTCTATGTGTTGCTATTGCTGAACAGAATAGCTATCTTGCCAAGACTGAACAAATTGAAGATTTTTTCACAAAAGGCTCTGGCAAAGGTGACATGGTATCAAATTTTATATTTCGTATACATTTTGGAAACGTCTATTTTTGATTGCTATGGGACAAAATGATTTTCTGGGTCAGTCCATTCATGAGGTCAGATTATCACTCTGAAGAATTGAAAATAATGTTTTAATAAATAATGACAAATAAGGTTTGACTTGAATGTAGTCAATGAGGCATTGTGTTGGTTACTGATGGTATAAAAATTACATGTATTATCACACTGACCAATATTTTTGATATAGATAATTTTGGTCAATATATATTTTGAGTCCTTTAAATTATTGCAAGATTTTCTTCAGATGTATTTCGTGGGGATCTAGAATTATGGATCCGGCTGCTCCTGCCTGGAATCATAAAGCGCACGTACAACCTTCGGTGCAAGCAGCTCGTCAAGTTATTCTCGCAGGTAAGGACTTGAGGTTAAAGACTTGGTGTCAACCTCGGGACTGTGATAGCTGACACATCTGCCATCATCACGGAAAACAATTTTTTTTACTTGAAATGAAGTCAGATCAACATCAAAAACAGATATTTTAGCTTGAGGAGGAATGAAGTGTGTGTTTCAGGACCTCCTAGCACAAACCATCGATAACTTCTGTTAGATGCCGCCGTGTTGCTTAGTGTAGCACTGTAGCTGTTATATTGCTCTTATTATCAGTGAAAATTTTCATTTTATCATGTCATGAAATTTCAAGAAATACACGAATCTCTCTCTTATTCTACAAAACACTTAAGTTTCCCTATTCTTCACTTACGTACTGTACTACACATTTCAAAATTTCCATTAGTATTTGCATTATGAGTTTAATTGCTGCTAACGAAATTGTAGATTTCTTATTGAATTGAACCATTTAAATGTACTGGAGCTGTTCAAGGATGCGAGGCTGTGAGATTAATTCTACTCTGCATCTGCAGGTGTTTAACACAAACCATGAGGAGATGATTGAACATCTGAAGGAGGGCGATGTGGCAGAGACAGTGAGCGTGTTTTTCGAACGCAGTCGCCGTGTCAAGCCTGCCAAGAAGAGCGCCATCTCCATCCACATGGTGGATGCGTGGCTTGCCAAGCTCGAGGGCATGACCAAGGAGGAAGAACAGGCTCGTCACTAGATGCATGCAGAATTCCATGTCACACTCTGATATAACCCGAGCTCTGGATTGTGAAAATCAAAGATACTTGTATGTATGAACATTCAAATGTGTAGTTTATCGTCTATTATTAATGTAATTTGAATGCGCCTTGATAGTTGCCTATAAATTCATTACCAGTATGTTTTTGTTGTAGTAAAAACTTTTGTAGATAGGTTCTCACCTTGGCCTTTGTTCAGATAGCGCACCTGTCGTCAGTGGCAGCGCAGTGCACCAGCAACGACCTGAAGATGGTGGTGCGGCTCATCAAGAGAGACTTGCGCATCAATGCTGGCGCCAAACCCATGTTAGAGAGATGTTCTTAGCCCACTTCTCTTATTTCAAATTTATGATTATTATTGCACATATTCAGAACTAAATTCAATTTATGTAGCAGTGTCAAGGCAAATTTTTATCTGGATAATTATATTTGCTGCCTTCAGCTTCTCAGTTATAAATTGCCTAATAAGCCAGCCATGCGCAAGGAATCAGATAATCCTACTTGAAACAACTTTATAATATAATGGGAAATCTAGTATTGATGAAGTAGAATTTATTTCTTTGCTAAAATACAAACGGATGCTATGTTTATGTGTAAGATAAGCCCTGTCAATACGTGCACAGCTTGGATGCAATTCACTCGGACGCTTACGCGGCGTTCCAGACGACGCGGGACTTGAGCGCCGTGCTGCGCCAGGTGCGCGAGAAGAATGCGTCGCCCAGCGCCTTGCAGCGCTCGCTCAGCATCAAGGCGCGAGTCTTGACGCCCGTCTTACCCATGCTGGTGAGTGCCTGAGCATCAAGGCGCGCGTCTTGACGCCCGTCTTACCCATGCTGGTGAGTGCCTGAGCATCAAGGCGCGAGTCTTGGCGCCCGTCTTACCCATGCTGGTGAGTGCCTGAGCATCTATGCGCGCGTCTAACATAAAATAATAATTGTACATTAGACACGCTAAATAATTTCCTTGTGTGACGCGACTTAATGCTCTTCTTCGGGTTGAGTGAATCGCGTGCGGAAACGCGTGTCTAATTAATGATATCTTTAAAGCAGCATGGTTGTTAACATCACTTCTGTTTTACGTGCCTCACTTCTGTTGTACATGTCTCACTTCTGTTTTACATGCCTCACTTCTGTTTTACCTGCCTCACTTCTGTTTTACGTGCCTCACTTCTGTTTTACCTGCCTCACTTCTGTTTTACCTGCCTCACTTCTGTTTTACGTGCCTTACTTTTGTTTTACCTGCCTCACTTCTGTTTTACCTGCCTCATTTCTGTTTTACGTGCCTCACTTCTGTTTTTTCCTCGCTCTTATCAGGCAATGGCATGCAAGTCCGTTGAAGATGCCTTTAAGCGCTGCCCCAACGGCATGTATTCCGAGATCAAGTATGACGGAGAGCGAGTACAGCTTCACAAGACGGGCTCCGAGTTCAAGTACTTCTCTCGCTCACTAAAGCCTGTCATGGATCATAAGGTTTGAGTTGCATACTATTAAAATTTTTTAAATTACATTGGTGCCCAAATATTGGGTTGTACTGGACCATTACCGTACATATTAAAAATAGTTAATTTATACAGGAAAATTTCCCATTCGTTTGGTGTTTATGACCAGAAATTGACAGGTATAGATAGTTGTAATGATGGAGTTCACTGCAGTATTGTTTATCGTGCAGGTATCCCACTTTTCCGAGTACATTCCTGACGCGTTCCCTCACGCCCACGACCTGATCTTGGATGCTGAAGTCTTGCTGGTCGACACACGCACCGGCAACCCTTTGCCGTTCGGGACTCTTGGAGTGCACAAGGTTTGTTAAGCCTTCTAAATGTTACGTACATCATTAACCTCCTTATTTTCTTTTCTACGCAATACATGTCTTAGTGAAAATTGTCTTGACTGCATATTTTTGCTTAATTTTTTACAATTTTCAAGGAAATATTTGAGATGCTTCAATGACTGTCAAAATAATAATAGTATGACTCATGCTGAAGCCATGAACCGTAACTTCGTATTTGATGGTCGAAATTGACAGAGTGAGAGCAAAATTTCTACATATATTCATAACGTGATAATCTTATCATGTTTTATATTTTTTTCAGAAAAACGAGTTTGAGGACGCTAAAGTTTGCCTTTTTGTCTTTGACTGTATCCACTACAACGGAGAAAATTTAATGAAGAAGTATGTGTATCTCTTTAGTGCTCTAATTTTCCTAATTAGATAATTCCTTACCTTTTCATCAGTTTATTTTATAGAAATTACCGTTTGACTGCATCCCTTATGATATCTTGCTTACTAACTGAAACGGCATCATCTTGCAAACAATAAGCTACTCGCCATAGAAAATTATATACTAGTGTGACAATGTCTTTGCAGCCTATCGATGTATAATTTTTTATGATGATGCGTAATTTTCCAAGTGATGTGTTATTTGGCATTTTTAGCGCATTTTCTCATGGAAAAAAACAAAAAATGCACTATTGTGCTCGCCCTGTCCGTTCGTCTGTCTGTCCGTTCGTGACTTCACGTTTTCGTCGACGAGAAAATGCGCTCTGTCACTCACTGCAGTGAGTAACGAGTTATATTTTTCTGTCCATCAGACCTCTGAGCGAGCGTCGTGCGGTGCTGCTGCAGAACATGACGGAGGTGAAGCACCGCGTCCACTTTAGTGAAATGAAGGAAATTCATAAACCTGACGACCTGCGGGCCATGATAGCCCGGGTCTTGAGTGAGGGCTTGGAGGGTCTCGTGCTCAAGGATATCAAGAGCATCTATGAGCCTGGCAAGCGCCACTGGCTCAAGGTTCGTTTTTTTTATCCTATATAGAAAATGTTGACCGAAGTTGGTCGTTCATCATACCAGATACTGTGTTGTGTATAAAGTTTTGAATCGAGTACTCATTAATAATTACCCAATCATGATGTATTTTCCATCGCGTATTTTTTTTATCAAATCATATATTTTTTCTTTTGATTTTTTTGGCTCTTTTTACCAATCAACTTCTACAGAATTGATTGGAAAATTTCTTGTGATATGGGGCAGGTAAAGAAAGACTACCTGGAAGACGGGGCGCTGGCTGACACGGCGGACCTGGTGGTGCTGGGCGCGTGGTACGGTACGGGCAAGAAGGGCGGCATGCTCTCTATCTTCCTCATGGGCTGCTATGATCCTGCTTCACAGAAGTGGTACACCGTCACGAAGGTAAAATTTTATTATACCTTTCCTGGCACTGCCATTACTCTTAGTCAACACACTAAACCTCTGTTATAATCGTTAACCTCTGTTAACAATTAACGTCATAATCGTTAACCGCTGTTAAATCGTTTATTTTGACAGACTAGCTTCAAGAAAATACCATTTGCTCAGACAATGAATGTACATTTCTTGTACATTCATCTTAGTATGACACGTTCAATTCAGCGTGGGCTTGCTTGTCTCAGGTGCACACTGGCCATGACGACGCTACGCTGGAGGCGCTGCAGCAGTCGCTCAGCATGACGAGGATTAACTGCGACTACGACAAGGTGCCTGCGTGGCTCAGCTGCTCACGGTCCCTCACGCCGGACTGCGTTGTCAAGGATCCCAAGGTAGGATTTAGTGTCTTGCTGTAAAATGGTTGTGGCTCATCAGGCTCCAGGTTATGTATTTCATAATAAAAAATGTTATCATTTTGTCATCTATCAGATAAAATAACATGAAGAGATACAATTATTGCTGTTCATGAATATATGAAATAATAAAAATAGTAAAATATTAAATTAATAAATAGTAGTAATAGCTCATCGTTGTTATGATGCAGTGATAAATTTTGCCATTTTGTCATTACCTACAATTCACACTACATGTGACATAATTGAAACTGAATTTGCTGCATCTATGCTGCATTAAGTTCTGCAACATTAGCATGTACCTTTTTTGAGGATTTATCACTCTAAAGCACTTCTATTCATGTTCTGTACAAGACATGCCACTTTCTTCATGAAGAAAGTGGAGCCACCACGAAATTTTTATTCACTTGAATAATGTTTATGTGCAGAAGGCGCCGGTGTGGGAGATTACAGGAGCAGAGTTCACACAAAACCAAATCCACAGCGCCGATGGCATCAGCATTCGCTTCCCGCGAGTCACCAAACAGCGGCCCGACAAGGACTGGACGCAAGCCACCAGTTTGCCTGAGCTCAAGGTCTTATTTTTGCCGTATAATCTCAATTCAATCATCTGCACTAAGATTAGTCTTGGGAAATTACTGGCCATTCTTAGTGCTGTTCCTTCTTATGCCTCACAAGCGAAGGATTTCAGTGATTATGATATTTTGATGAATGATGACTGATTTACTTGCTGTTTCGACTATCTATAGCATGATTGTTTATATAATAAACATATGATTGGCAATGCATGTCCCTCTAAACTAAATTCAGTTATGTGCTCAGCATTAAATGGTACTACAATCGCTTGATCGAAACCAACTCGTGCTTCTTCTGAACATCTGCTATAGTTGTGTCGTATAAATGCGATCGATTTGAAGGTACAGAAGTTAACAGAACACTCAATAAAATGTGTAAAAAAAAATTTTTAAAGACCACGTTTTTCATGTGGACTCATAAGTAGAAAATAATTTTACGGCAGCTACTGATCTCTGTTTGCTTTCATTCTCTTGGTCTTTTGTATTTCAGTTAAAATATTTTACAACATCTAAAACAAAAAACGTGGGGCGCAAATGTATTTAATTGTTTGGTGATTACTTGATATGATGAATATGATGGTTCATTGAACACTTGATAAGTGTATTGCTGATATATCTGATTTGAGCAAATTTTGTTAATTACTGTTGGTATATTGATTTATCATGTTTCATCCAATATAGGTAGTTTGATATGTGTATAAGTAATTCAAGCAAGTAAAGATATGAATCATGAAAAACGCAGGTCTGGGTATGTGAAAATTTTAAAAGAATCAAATTTTGAGAATTTTAAATGAACGCGTGGACTATATCTAATCAATTTAAGAGGCATATTAAGACATTTGAAAATTGAGTCCACATGAAAAACGTGGTCTTTAAAAATTTTTTTTTACACATTTTATTTTCTAATTTTTAGTTTTCTAAAGTATTATATTTTCTCCTTTTTAGTCCGTTGCTACACATGAAACACGTTGTTGCGAGCCAATTTACTTGACTTGTCGTACGTATCGATGATACGCAGCGTATCATCGATATACGCAGTCTAAACACGAATATCCTCTCGAGGATGACGTGCATTTAAAGGTTCCCAAACCCTTGCTTGTGAGTTCCTTTAGAGTTTATAACTACTGCACAAATGTCAACCATCCTACATAATAGTCATTTTATTTCAGTTGGCCACGCAAATGCAAGAAAGAAAATTCTTTTCGAAGTTCTGTAGAAAATTGTATTCGAGGGGATACATTGTTGTTCCCTTATTTATCTGGGTGCGTGGCTGTAATAAAGAAAGGTTCGGTAATAAATACGCCTGGAAACGTGCAACAAATTATTGATTATTGTATTGTTATCGGGAGCTGAGCTTCCCTAAAAGTTTCAGAGTGCTAGCTAGTGGGAAAGTTGGTGAAATATCGATTGCAAGATTTGATCATCACAGACAGACACGAAAGCGAGCTAAGAAAAACGTGGTAAAATACAATAGTTGCATGTAGACACGAGTTTCACTAAACACTTTAACCCAAACACTAAATAATTCTTATTCTTTTTGTTTTGCTAGGAACTATTCAAGGCCTCGAAGGAAAAAGACTTCAGTGACATCCTAGGTGTTCCTTCGTCTACCCAGATCGGAGAATCTTCTTCAAGTTCGTCTGTAAGATCAATACTCTGATTTGTTCTCATAATTTGCGTTAAATGAGGCAATTTTTCGTAGAATCATCTATAGTATATGAGCTATTTAATAAGAATTTATCAATTTTTTATCAAAAAGTTATTTATATACCGCCTTGGTTTTAGTGATTACATCAATGTAAGATTTTATGTTTTTTCTTCTCCACAGAATGGATCGGCGAAAAAACGAAAACGCGATGACGATGAAGATAAGAAACCAAAGTTGGACTATCAGGCGAAAAAACTAAGACTTGATGACCAAACCACTGGAGAAAATAAGCTTAGCGATGATGTGTCCAAAACACAAAAGCTTAATGACGTCGCTGAAATTCCTGAAGTGCAGGACCAGAAGAAGATTAAGGAATCTCGCGACAACGATCGTGGGAGCAAGCGTCACAAGATATCTGATGAAAGTGATGCCGGTGAGTCCATCAAGAGACAGAAAACCAGCAGCAATAACACTAGCAGCAGCAGCAACAACATTAGCGGTAACAGCAGCAGCAGCAACAAAATTAGTGGTAACAGCAGCAACAACGCTACCAGCAGCAGCAACAACATTAGCGGTAACAACAGCAGCAGCAACAACAAAATTAGCGACAACAGCAGCAACAACGCTACCAGCAGCAGCAGCAAGGAGAACGGCGTCAAGGAGGAGAAAAGGAGAGATAAGCATAAAAATAGGAGCGGTGGCGACAGCAGCAGCGGTAGTAAGGACAAGGAAAGTCGTCATCACAAGGAGAAGAGAGAAGGCAGCTATAAAGTGAAGGTATAACTCGTGCAGCATCTCACGTCCTGATTTTCATGTACATTTCGTCCAGATATCAACTGGCGTGTGTTGCTGCTATTCCATTTTTTGTAAGCCTTTGTCAAGAGTTACATTGGGTTTTGTTTTGAAGAGCTTATGTGTATAGGGCTCACATAAGCTTAAATATAAATCAGGCTCGTCTATTAATATTCAATGCATGTGTTTTCTTACGTGTGAACTTTAAGGTCTGATTTCATTGTGGATCATTTCTTTATTTCACGAGATTTTCCGTTTACATTTGTTGACAATTTTCCTGAATGTTATGAATGTGTGTTCATTAGTTATTGCGAGTAATTTTTTTTTTGCACGAAATAATTCCGCTAATTTTGAAAACGTTTATATTTTTTGGGAGAGTTGACATTTTTTACTTTTTCCTGCTATAAATAATTTGTGATTTCTGATAATCGACGTCTGAGAATCGTCTTATTGCATGTAGTTCGTCATCGTAAACCTATCAATTACCATTAATCTTTGTGGTTTCGCAATCAAATCTATTTCTCCTGATTAATTTTATGGGCCTCTCGGATCAATTAAAAAATGTCCACTTCAGTCGGCCTAATCATTCGGTTCTTAAATAGTTGGTTTTCCAATCCTTAGGACAAAGCCGATAAAATAAGAGATCTGATGTTGCTAGTCTATTATTTGCGACCTGAATGGCTGTTTGCTTGGAGATTGTAATATTTAATTTATATTCTACTCGCCCTTGTCGGCAATCGGCGTGCTTTTGTGATTCCGCCAATTGTACTGAAACGATATCGTGCGTTGTCAATTTGGTTTGTGTTGATATAACACAAATCTTTGAAGCTCTCGTGGCTCTTGTCTTTGTGTGTTCGGTTTACTTGAGATTCCTCTTCTCTACGTTTGAACTTCGATTCTGTTCTAGTCCCAGTTTATTCTCCATGTTTTGGTGTCATGAGTGCAGTCATTGCACGAAATTGATCTATAATGAAACTTGAGATTATTATTAGAAACTGAGATTTGATCCTGTTGCTTTCGAGATCTGTGTTTAATCTGTTTTTTGGCTCGCTTTTTGTTTAATCTTGATTCATCTCGCATGCCGTTTCTAATTCTTAGCTTTTCTTTAAATTTGCTTGTTCGTAATTTTTTTATTTATTAATTAATTTCGTGTATTTTTTCGTGTGCCTGGCATACTTTTGCCATGGATCAATTATTTTGCGTGCGTCAATCCATATCACTTTTGTCACCAGGTTAAGGTAAAAATTGAATATCTTCTCATATTCAAAATTTCTTCGTTTATGTTTATGCATCAAAAACACTCATCTAGTTAACGGAATCGCTCTGGAACCGTCCACATTAAGTCTCAAGATGTTATAATAGTTCAATATAAATGTAAATAACATATTACTTCCAGCGTTGTTATAAAACTTGATCATTTGCATTGAGCAGCATTGACTCGTATGAAGACTAGTATCTTTTACCAATTTAAATATATTGTTATCGAGTCAGGCGGATCTCTTTCCTTTGGTCTTTCCTTTTGTTGGTATTATTATTTCATTAGTAACTAGAGAAGATTTATTGTTTTTGGGCTAAAATGCAAGTGAATTTCCATTTTAATTAGAGGATAAATTATCGATAATCGAATTGATGCGAAGTCCATCTTAACCATCATTTTTCTGGTCGCTTTATTATTAGCCAATTGCTTTGCATTGATGGGACAAAGAAGTCCGCCTCTTGACCGGAGCAGCTGATACTTTAGATGAGCATTTGGTTTCAATTTGAATCGACTTTTTCATGAGTTAGTTGTCGCAGTCCATTTTCATTTATATAAAATCATCCTGAAAATTTTCGTACATAAGTTTCACCATCGAACCACCAAACGGATATTAAAGTGAAATTAATCTTTAGAATATTTTTGTTTTTCTGTAGTCTTTAGATACGTAATACGTTCATAATGAGTGTCTTGAATCTTGTTATATATATCCACATAATTTGATGGCATTACAATTTAATGTTACATGTGCACTTAATGTCGTCTCGAGCTGTTGTATTTCAAAACAAAATGCTGCCAATATTTTTTTTTAAACTTCCACTTGTAATATTCAATAGAAACTACAAATATAGACTGAAACGAACAGATGCAGAATGGAAATTTCATTAACCGTTTACTTCTTCCCACCCAGTGCCGGTACTGGCTTCAGTGTCACAACACGAGCAAGGAACATCGCGACAGATTTGAACATCCTCCTCAAAAGAGCCTCATCTCGAGGGTGAGTTCCGTATCAGTGCACTAACTTAAGTAATAAGTAGGTTTCATTGAAGACCAGAGAATTTGCTTTATTGACAATTTTCTTAACAGTTTCTCTTCAATATATTGAACAATACATTTTGTTTGCACTGGGAAATCGTAAATCACGATACCGAAGACATAAAAGTGTGGAGATGGCATGAATCGATACTCGTATTTCTTTTACATTTGAGATATACTTTGTCAATTGGCAGGTAAACTATTTATTACATTCATTTGATGCATATTTTTTTCCATGTAACAGCCGCTGCCGGACGTGTTGTGCTCAGTCAAGGTTTTCCTGAAGGGCGACATTGAAGATAAAGAGAAGCTGGAACGATACATTGTAGCGTATCCTTTACTGCAAATCTTCCTATAACACGCCTGAGGTTTGCTGGTGTGAAACAGTTATTAAAACAACAGACAGTAAGATTCTAGCAAGCGTGGACTACAGCCTTCTTAGTTGTAACCCCTAGTTTGACTCCTGTGATAATCATTTGTATTTTTGTAAAAATCATTCGTTTTTTTCGTACCGTAAGCAAGACCATGAGATGAATAACAAAACGCATTGATGGCTCTCGCTCTTAATCTCTGATGAAGTGGCTATAAGAGGAAGGTCGTTACTGGGAAAGGATAAATACAATTTATTTTCTTTGACATAACGTTTACTCGTGAAATATAACATCTAAACTCGAACACATCTTAAATTTAAGCTACTTTGAAATAGAGTATCAAACTAAAACCGTATAAAAGCTATAATACCATCTACGTTACTAGCAAAATTAGAGAAATAAACAATGCAATGAGGTCATTACTCATTACACTCAATCGTTCATTTTAAGAAAGTCTGAAATCTTACAATTTGATTGGATGATGATCTTTGTAAAGTCACGGAAATGGCTTAAATAAATTAAAATTCCCGTTTCTTAAAATTAATTTATAGAAGAGAGCAGTTGAATGATACTTTTCGCAGGTTTTCGGATTATTTTTTATTTAGAAATGCCATTTGATAGAACAGTAACAAGTTCCATGATTATGTACAGGTTTAAATCGTACAAGTAGCAGGAGCACTAACAAAATTAATATAGATAATTATTAATTAATATAGAGTACTGTCAAAATTGATGTCAACCCTACCTCCTGATTCTGAAGAATCTATTAACTTATATGATTTAGATTCATAAAACTTTCACAGCTCAATTTGTTAAAAATTATGATAAAAAGCACGTTATGTAGCTCTCATCTATGTCATGATAATATCATTGGGATTTATAACAAAAAACATGATAACAATTTGCAAAAAGTACAAACCACTACAGGTTTACAAAAGTGTGAGTTACTATAGGTTTATACGGAAATCATGAAGTGATTAAGTTACATTTGATTACTGTAAGGGTCCGGCACGTTGAGTGCAAAGCCACATCTCTGCAGTGCTGCGTGGATGTTGGAGTAGACACTGGCGTCTTCAACGGTGCTGGGGATGGTCATTTTGTCTCCTCGGGCGAGAGTAGCAATGGAGCCTCTGGGAATCTTGCCATTGCGGGTGTGTGGCAGCGCTGTGACGATGGCGCAGTGTTTGAAGGCTGCGACAGGTCCCACGTGATCCCTTACGTGTTTCACGAGCTCCTGAACAAGTTCTTTTTCGTCTCTGTCCCTGGACACTACCACTAGACCGAGGGGAACGACGCCTTTCAGATCATCTGGTACACCACAGACAATTGCGTCTGTCACATCAGGATGCTCCATGAGGGCTTCTTCCAACGCCAGGGCGCTCATACGATGGCCTGAAACATTGATCACATCATCTTCTCTAGACAATACGGATATGTAACCGTCTTTGTCCTTCATACCGGCATCCATTGTATCATAATATCCCTGGAACTGTTTGAAATAGGTGTCAATATATCGGGTGTGAGCTTCATAAAGTGTACTGAAGCAACCAGGGGGCAGTGGTAACCGGCAGACGATGCGACCTAACTCTCCCAACCCTACATGTTCATTCTCAGAGTTCAGCAAATCGATGTCGTATCCTGGTACCGGCTTTCCTGTAGTTCCTCTTGGCGGATTTGGATTCATACCCAGCCCCATGCAATGAGCTGTTATAGGAAAGCCTGACTCAGTTTGCCACCAGTTGTTCAAAATAGGAACTTTGAAAGCTTCTTCTGCCCAGGCTCGGGTTACATGGTCAAGACATTCTCCGGCAACGAAGCAGTGCTCAAGTTGTGTTCCGTCAGCAATTGACGCTTCTTCATCCACTTTTTTAATTGCCCGGAGAGCTGACGGGCTAGTAAACATTTTCTTTACGTTATGCTCTTTGATCACTCTGAAGAATTGGTTGCTATCGGGTGTCCCAACTGGTTTTCCTTCGTACAAAACGGTTGTGTTGCAATTGAGTAGTGGTGCATAGCAGACGTATGAGTGGCCTACCACCCATCCCAAATCTGAGGCTGACCACCAAACATCGTCCTCTTCGATTCCAAAAACAGCCTTCATAGTCCATGGCAAAACGACTGCATGTCCTCCAGTTGGGCGCACAATGCCTTTCGGCTTACCCGTTGTACCAGACGTGTGCAAGATGTAACATGGATGGTTCGATTCCACCGGAACCGGATCGTGCCCCTGAGATTGTGCCATTTCTTCGTTCCAATCGAGATCTCTTGTCTTTTGCATCTTTGCTTCGGGCAGATGAGGGCGTTGAAAGATAATGCAGTGATCCGGTTTATGGGATGAAATTTGAATTGCAGTGTCAAGCAGTGGCTTATATTCGACAACCCTCGAAGGCTCAATGCCGCAAGATGCGCTGATGATCAATTTTGGCCCCAAATGCGTTATTCTTCTGCTAAGTTCTTGCGCGGCAAAACCACCAAACACGACGCAGTGAATGGCTCCAATGCGGGTGCATGCTAACATGGCCACCATAGTTTCTATAACAAGGGGCATGTAAATCAAGACTTTGTCTCCTTTTGTGACGCCGTGTTTCACTAACACTCCAGCCATTCGTTTGACCTCATCTAGTAACTCAGCATAAGTGATGTTTCTCTTGCTCCCGGTAACAGGAGAGTCATGGATTATGGCTACTTTGGAACCTTTACCTGCTTCGACATGTCTGTCCAGTGCATTATAACATGTATTCAACTCACCACCTCTGAACCACATGGGTGATGTCGGTAAACTATCTGCATCCAACACTTGAGTGTATGGTTTATGCCATACGATATTTTGGGCAATTTCATCCCAAAATTGTTCCTTATGTTTTAACGAGTTTCTATGAACAGTATCGTAGTCACCAACACTCAATGCCGCAGCTCTGCTGGTAGAGCGCTTTCCACTCTCTAAAGCGAACTTCCTTACTTGAAAGCTTTTCACGTGCGAAGTTGCTAACTTCGTTATGAAATGTCTTGAGTTCTGCATTGCTTAAAATATAACTGGCGTGAAAATTCGATATTGGTGAATGTTAATTGTGGACTCGAACAGAACTTTCTGCAGCAGTCGTACAGTTGCCACTGGCCTGACGATAAAACCTTAGTAACTGAGAAGGAGCTGCGGTCTGAGTTCAGAGTTATCCCTTGAAACCTGTTGTGATAGCTACAGCTTGTTTAGCTCCAACTCGAGTTGATAATCCTATTCTTTATCAAGTTCTTCTAAAGGCTTAAACAGACATTTAACCGTGATTTATTTTGTCGTGATTATTTATTATTTGTCGTGATTATTATTATTTAATCCCATTTATTACTCGTTTATTCCAACATACATTGCGTTAGCCCAGCTGTGAATCGCACGTCTGGCGCTGCAAATCTCAAGGTCAGCACGGTCTCTACAAATTCACGCTAACGAGACAAATCATTTGAATTACAGTACAAAATTCTACTTTTATTCCGCTTTGTTGCTCGTCAATTCCGTTTGTTGCCCGTGCATGCAAAGATTCATGCTAGCGATGAGTAATGTATTGAAAAAATCTGATCGCGTGTAAAGCTTGTCCGTGCCCGGAATATTTTTTACAAAAAATTGAGTTCTATTCCTTATGTAAATTGGTGACTGTTCGCTATGGAATCTAATTCCGAAATATATTTAACTGCTTGTTTACATTCACTTCTAATTTTGCTTTGTGATTGTAGATAACTTAAATAGAAACCGATTACTTAACCGAATATACTTTTTTCGGCGTTTTTTTCGTATAAGTATGGCGGTACATTGCAATTGATTCTATACGTATGCAAATAAATTTCCTGCATGAAAAAATTACCTTGATATATTTTTAGTTGACAAAATTCATCCATTGAGTCTATTCCACCCATCCTTAACGATAAGTTCAGCTTTGGTGGGACGCTTGTGCCACATCATCGTCGGTCCGAGGCAACTCATTGCTGCAGTGCCACATCTCAGCCCTGCGATCCCACTGAAGTAAGATTACTCTTGAGGTTCCGGACATTTTGGTGGGTTTTTGGGAGGCCATACTTAGCTACATTTTTTAAATTTCGTCAATGAATAATAGAATAATATCGCTTATCATTCATGTTTTTAATCGTTATTTTGTTTAAACATTAAAGTAGTTCTAATTTGCATTTTAATGAAATCGATTTATTATCAAGATAATGGCAACGAAGAGATATTATTACTTTATTTGGATTGGACTCCCAGATTGCGCAAAGTTTAATGGCGAAACTTAAATCGTATTTGCGATTTGGTGTTTTTAAAATTGTACTTTTTAAGTATCATAGAAAAGAGTAAGAAATTCTCTTCATTTGCCTTGATATAACGACTTATGTTTACCGAGTAATTTAGTAAAAAATCTGTCATCAATTTCTGAAAAATGCAGTTGTACTCATGCACTGATGCTTTTATTTTATTTTAAAAGTTGGTTAGCAATACTTCTGACATGCACACTATTACACAGCAACTGGAAATTACGCAAAGCTTGCGAAATCATTCATGAATTACTCGATTGCGACTACACTTATTTACGTGACTGAGAATGATCCTTTGATCGGCCATCAAAAACATTCAAATGAATTTTTAGCGCATTTTCTCATTTATGGAAAAAATGCACTATTGTGCTCGCCATGTCCGTCTGTCTGTCTGTCTGTCCGTCCGTCCGTGACCTCAAGTTTTCGTCGACGAGAAAATGCGCTCTCTGTCACTCACTGCAGTGAGTACTGAGTTATATTTTTTTTCTACACTAGACAGTATTGTCATGACTGTTTATAGGTGCATAGACTATTTCATTATTGTTTCAGAAATCAAAAATAAACCAATGCTGACAAAATGTTAAGCTAAGCTAACAAAATAAGCAACCAGTTCCAAGCCAAAGAACAAGAACAGTTCCAAGCCAAAGAACAAGAACAGTTCCAAGCCAGTTCTCCCAACGCTTCGTCAAAGCTTCAATGAAAACTACAGGTCTTTTCCATTCACACGAAGGCGCATCGCACCTGCGCGTTTATAATTTTCATTAGGATGCATGACGTGTAATTTCGAACCTGTTGTTCAAAGAATTTTTTGAGAAGGTTTGCATTCTTGATATAATAATTAACGTCATTGCCAGGGATATCTGGACAGTGGGATAATTAGGGCACGCGGCAATTGTTTATTTCAAGCCATTAGCTTACGTGTTTATGGCCGCCTCCGCCCCAGCCCGCTGCTACGGAGAAAATTGCGAACATTTCAAGGCGAAACGTTTTGTTTGTTGAAGTAATAATTTAATTTAGAAGAATAATTCAGAAGAATAATTCATAAATCTAATTAAACTTAAGAACAGGCAACAAAAAAAAAGAGTTTATCAACGTTCACTTTTTTTTGTAACTTGACTGGAGTGATCGAGCGTTATCATAATGTTGCTTATTCGATGCCCTAGCGAACTATTGTTTACTTTTTTATTTTAATTGTCGTTTATAGAGTAATTCGTCTCCACGGTATTCCATTGCTTGTCATTCCAATTGTTGAATGACTTGAACTGGGCTAAAAGTTTCAATTGTCGGCGTGCTGGTTCCGTTAAAATTTGATTTTTAATCCCAGCCGTCTGCTTTTTGAGTCCCTGGCAGAAGCAAACACTTCAGTTGCCGCGCTCACTAGCAGAATTTCCCTCTACTCTGCAGTTGCTTGCCATCAAATAAGCTAGCGTAATAAATGATGAGGGCCTACGAAGCGACTGCTTCTTCAGGAATTAAATACGTTTAACATTTTTATTCGCATTCGTTCCGCGGAAACCTTAGTAAAGCGATAGAGAGACTTATACAGGGTGAACCAGAATTAACTGACCCTTTTAATTTGTTAATAAATAAAAAACTAAGAACGTTATGAAGTTGAAACTTGTTTTATTTAAATGAAGAACATTTTTATGGTAATATTGTATCCTAGTTTTTAGGATACAATAACTAACTAGGATACACATACAATATTACATACAATATTTTAACTACCGTAAAATGGGGTAACTTAGACCACTTTTATTTTTATAAATGATGCCATTTTTTTACTAGCTAAATTAAACTTGAATTGAAACATGCTAAATACAGGTCTATACTCTAGCTTCACTCACAATAAATTGCTGGCTCCTGCCTCTCATAGTCTTTATGTAATTTCAAAAAAAGTGGTGGTCTTTGTTACCCCAGCTCTTGGGGTAACTTAGACCTCCCCGCCGGTCTAAGTTACCCCATTTTACGGTAATACATATTATTAATACATAATAAATATTTTAACTAATACAATAATAAAATATTGTAATAGGATACAATATTTTAACTAGGATACAATATTACCATAAAAATTTTCTTCTTTTAAATAAAACAAATTTCAACTTCATAACGTTCTTAGTTTTTTATTTATTAACAAATTAAAAGGGTCAGTTAATTCTGGTTCACCCTGTACTACTACATCTATTGTATATTTATTCTACTTTTGCTGATATTATTTTACCACTAATTTGCGATTATTGTTTCACGACAGCATTGCAGTGCTGTGCACACGAGCGTACAGTGGCTCTGGGATAGCATCAAGACTCATCGTCTGCTGCCTGAAGCGTCGTACACGTCACCCCTGTAAGACCGTCCTCATGCCTCGTGTCTAGCTAGGCTCCGATGACCTAACTTTAGATCAGTTAACCCTCTACCGCCGTATGTCACTCTCCGAGAACATACCTTTCAACTTAAATTATACGTAAACCATTGAGTGAAGCAAGTTTTAAGTGAGTGAACTCACTTAAAACTTCACACAAACTATTGAGTGAAGTGAGTTTTAAAATTTTCGTAAGTGGCGGCAACCATCAGTGCAAGTCTTTTTGCGCTCACTAGAACGTATCCTTTTTGGGGAGTAGGCTTGTGACAATATTGGTCCGGTTACTCGTGTCAGGCGGTAGAGGGTTAACGTTGTTAAATCAGTTGATAAATTGTTCAGTCTAATTGGTTAGTGCTGAGGATATCATATTGTCAATACAATTATTTCAATGAAACTGATAACATTGTGTTAACTTATCTGTAACTGATGAGTAATTAGCAGCACATCGTTTCTGCTAGATTTATCAACGATAATTTTGTGATATGATAATATACTCGTATTTCATCTGACACAGACAGCATGAATACTGTTTGAAATTCACTGAGATCAGACACGAAAACTCAATTTCGTCTCTTTCATTACTTAAATTCAAATACTCAGTGCGTGTGTGTGTGTGTTTTTGAATAATGGGATAAATGATGGGATAAACTTATCTAAATACAAATTGTTAATGAATGAGAAGAAAATTTTCGGAGGCTGTTATCTTGAATCTCGTTGGCGGAACTAAACGGTTCGTCCACTATCCTTTATTTCATAATGCTCTCAACAATTATCTCCTGTTGCACGACGTACACTGACGACGTAACTTACCTCGTCTCGTCTGTTCTATTTTGCCGCAATGAGTGACCAGCCATAGCATTACCGCACACGACTGCGTCCAACTATTAACTACTGAGACCAATACGTACCAGATTAGGTACCTCTGGTCAACCAGTACAATGATATTATTCCCAGTACAATGTTATTCCCTCTGATCTGTATTGACATGTGATGTTGATATTATTGTCTTCGGATGACAGAAATCTTACGCTTATAAATTTTTGCTGTTTATTACTATATTTTGATGTATTTGTAAGGTAAACATGCGCTATAATTCTCTCGTTTCGCTAAGGTTTTACAACGGTTTTTATAGTTCTTTCATCTATAATACCACATCTTTTGCGACAGTTGCATACACTTTAAAACTTAAATTAAAGTTTGATGTTAAAATTTTGTTTCTGTTATTTGCACTCATGGCAGTCGTATCACCTATACGAGTACCTCGAAATGAACATCAATGCTTGACAATTGCGACCTTACCTTCTTTTTTAAGCTTAATAACACCGCGCTGCTATACACATCAAGTGACAGCGAGAGTGTTGGTGTTTATTGTGTGGTGTGTGTGTGTGTGTGGGTGTTTGTGTGGCGTGTGTGTGTTACTTCGTGTTTATTGATGCACCTTAATATTACTTTTGTCTGTGATACTTCTGTTCAGCCGCACCAGTCCCGGCATTTTTGACTCTACACTTCGTAAAACTTGTATGTACGATCATGTTTTGCCTGCAGGCTCACAGTCTTGTCTGATTGGAAATTCAAGGCAAATATTCGTTTGATTAGTACGCTTGCACTTCTGTCATTCATTTATATGAACAATGAACAATTCCTTTAGATGAACAAATAAATAATCTTGATTATACTTGATTCAAACGTTTCCAAATGTTTATTTGATTTTCAAAGGCAGAATTTTCCAACTCTTTTCCTTGGTATTAAATTTTCAGTTGATTCGCGACACAATCGACCGGTTGACCTTAACATTTATAAAAGTTACGATGCTTACAAAAGTTACAAAATGTTACCAAAAATGCTCTAAGCTCCTGACGCGTCTGTAGCGTTTCAAGCCCCAGTCTATTCATCATGAAAATAAAGTCAACGACCGTGCTTCATTCCTTGCTAGTGTTGTTCACACTTTTGAAAGAGTAATTTCTACCATCGGTTTACCTGGTTTCTAATATTTAGTATGTCTGTAGGATTATTTTTTCTTTGGACTTTGCTAGGATCCGTGTAAAATGTTCTCTTTATCTAAGTGTTGACAACAATGAACTAATGTTGAAGTTGAATATTCATGAATACTTGTCACGGTAGTGAAATATAATTTTCAGGCACCGATATAAGTTTTAAATATATATAAACTCTACGCAAGTTTGTTAGTATTATTCAATCCCTGATTTGTTTATAAGAGTTTACTTGTTGTTTTGATGGCTGAAAATAGAACACCATAATCATCACTGACCATGCTTTACTCCACTCCTCACAGGCTCTAATAATCAAATATTAATTGAATAATAAAATGAATAATATAATTCTAGCTCAATCTGTGGGACATTTCATGCACGGCGATAGTAGCTTCGGGAAAACTGATATCAAAATTATCCCTTTCGCGGGCAAGTTACATACTTGGTCGCTTGAAAGCTTCTCCCAAAGGGAGCGCAGCCGTGCACCACCAATTTTGTGCACCAACAAGCCCTGAATCGAACGCCTTGGATCTCTCCGGACATCCACCAATCAGCCGTGAACCACTCGGCTTTGTCCACCTCCGGCCTGGCATAAAACCTGCCGTGCACCACCAGACCGCGGATCGAATATGACTTCCGGGCATCGTTAAATTACGTAATTTTACGTTCACCGTATCTAAGGTTAGGTTTCAGATAGCCAAGTTCTGTTCCAAAATTTATCGTCTTTCGACGAGTGGCCGAGGGCTGGTTCGACCTACGGCTTAGATACGGACGGCTTGAAGTGTTGAATGCTACGTTCCGGAAGGCAGGAATCATGATAGTCCATTACATCCAGGGCAGTGGTGGTCTTCGGCAGGCGACCCCTCCCAAAACGTCACCACCGCCGCCCCGTTTCACGTTCGGACGTTTCGCAAATTATGCTGTTTCCGCATATACCTAAATGACGGAATTGTTAAAAATATTCAATTATTTTGACAATAAGTGACGGAGTTTAATAAAATTAAATTTGGATACATTCCTTTCACATTTGCGTCTTTAAATCTAAATAATATTTATCGGTAGAATGATCATTGTAAATAATTTCTTGATAATTTGATTCCATTTCGTTATTCATTTCTTTTCAATTCAGTGGCGTAATTCAATAAAATTTTAAACGAAAATATCGAAGTTCTGCTAAGACTTCGTAGTTGCACGTTCGCAACAACGTTTGCCTTTTTTAATGATTCGAATGCGCACTAACTGCATGGATGCTCTGAATTTAGATGGCCTGTGCCAATTCAGTCTCCCGTCGTTTGGCCACGATTGTTCCACAATCCTACAAAGTCGTCATCGGGATCTCGTTGATCAACTCGAAAGCAATCATTACACATCAATTACAACAACCATCAAGTGTTTCTTGATGAAGACGCCCGAAAAAATCACACGGCGTTATCAATTATTCCAGATGATTTCAAACTTTATTGTTATTACCCTTTACCATGAGAAGAAAACGACATTATGTTTTATACGTTATATTTTTCGTACTTTCGTAGACAATCAATCTACGGAAAAAATCATGCACACTCTCGATTTTTACTATTATTAACTATGGACTATGGAATGATGTGTGACATTGAATTGACTGAAACCCAGCAGCAGTAAATTATTAGTTTGGATCCAAGAAATTATTGTTACGTAGTTAGGTTTTGCACAGATATATAATGTGTTTTCTGTGACCACTTCCAATAATAATTAAATGTTGCATCTCGTGAATTATATTAACAGAATATGCATTATTACGCTCGTGGGACAAATGAGCGTATGAAACTATCCGGGAATTCGCACTAAGCAACCTATTTGCAGTATTACATTCTTCGAAACTCCGATCAATAAATATAATTAGTACCTCTAAGTATTAATTAGCTCTGATCATTCCTTACTTTGAAACTACATAGCTTCCTATGTAGGGAACTATGACTCCTAAGGAGGGAACTACAACTCCTATGTAGGGAACTATAGCCTCCTAAGGAGGGAACTATAGCCTCCTAAGGAAGGAACTATAGCCTCCTAAGGAAGGAACTATAGCCTCCTAAGGAAGGAACTATAGCCTCCTAAGGAAGGAACTATAGCCTCCTAAGGAAGGAACTACAGCCTCCTAAGGAGGGAACTATAGCCTCCTAAGGAGAGCAGTAAACCTCTTCACAGTAAACTGCATACGCCAGCTTCTCACTTCTTCCCGAAGCAGCTGACGGCATTGAAGGCGCACTGCTTCCAATAGGAGCGCTTGCGCGTCAGGTCACTGATGTCCTGCGAGTTTCTGAGCCGCTCGACCATCTGCTTGGCGTACAGGTAGTTCAGCAGCACTGCCTCCAGCGAGTCGTCTTCTGACAGCTGCTCTTACAAACAACAATATATTACTTCATCCATATAGTTATTTGGTCTGCTACAGAACAGCCGGACCGGAACTTATAAATCGTGATTATTCTTACAGTAGATTCACCATCTCCCATACATTATGCCTTATTTCCCGCTGGCACAAATCTGTACAAAAATTTTAGAATTGTCTCGATTCAAGCATATTGTTGTCACATACAATCTATCGCCCCTCAGACGAACTTGCAGTCAGCAATCGATCAATCTATCCCAACCAGAAGATTTTTGAGCTTTCGAGCAATTTGTTATTAATTTCGAGCATTGTACGTTCGAGCGACGTATTATTAAACATGAAAGATTCATGTTGTGAATGATATTGATTTTGTGTATTGTGAGATAAAACTTAGAGCAGCGTTACAAACTTATATTGAAAGCGTGATATGTATTTAATAGACCGCAATTTATTGCCCATGTAGTCAATTCTGTGCTTCTTCTTCTTAAAGATAATTTCCAGAAGTATGGACAAACTTATCAGATCCTCGACCATTTTGTACCTGAAAATTGTGAAAAAATTAACCATCGAAGGAAAAATCAAAATATTAGTTAATTTTACAGGTGTGAGGGAAAAATGATTATGTTTGAGAATGGGGTTTCCTCACGAGTTAGCATGCAGAGGTTAGTGTCAATGGAGTTAGTATCAATTAAAAAAAAGACACTTATATAATTATTGAATATGTTTTCGGAACTTCAGTTGTTCGTGACGCATTTACCTTTGATCGGGGGCCACTATTAAATCATTCTACCTCTTATACGATCGTGAGTGAGTTTTAATAAAGAATTGAAGAATTACAATACTCGATCAGATCGTCAAATATATTGATTACTTAAATATTGCGTTATTAATTTGGACTTGAAAGGAATTTCAGCAAATGTAAAATTTTGTTGGTCCATTGAAGACTTGAGGCGACCCAATAGAAGTATTGATCATTCCCTGAGTATCATCGTAATCCTCATTTATTCCAGCCTGCTCGGTATGAGCGTCGCAAGTAAAAGTAGAGCCCAATTAGCTAGACTAACGACGCCCGTCTGCCTGATGACCAAGAAATGCGACGCCATCCAAAATATATATAATATATTTTGCATCAAATACCCTTAGCAGCGCACGTCGCAATGACGCTCAATCAATCTCTGAATAATGTTTTGAAATTTTTTTCTCAATCCATCTAGACGAGATCAGATACATACACTGGATCCTTCATAGTCTCGTATTGACGACCGGGCACAATGCAACGATGTATGTAGATTAGATGCAACTAAATTCAATGAATTTGGCGAACATTGCCAAGGCAGTCTGCAACAACGATACATTATGCAACATAAGAATGAATGGTAGGGAATACAATAATATTCCAATTTGTTTTAAACATGGTGAAATTCGTTGGGAAAATGACAGATATTTTGTTAATGAATTATTACTGGATTCAGGTAATGTCATTATAAGTATAAAATCACATAGAAGCATGTTTTATTCGTATGTATCATTCTAATGACTAAAAATTAAAAAGCTCTACAATGGTTGATTTATCGCGTAACCTTGAAATTCAACAACGCAATTATAGACTGCCGGTAAATACATGAGCCGTCTTCCGTCCGTTATTTGCTTCGATCGAGAAAAATGAACCCAGATCAAAATATTCGCAATACCGTCTGGAGGCAGATTAAGGCTTCTTCAAAAATGACGTCTAAAGAATGGGAATTCTAGATTTCTTCTAACGTAGGGTCATATTTTACTGCTCTGCATATGAGCCCCGGACTCGTGGCGCTGATCTCGATGGATTTCAGTTTTGATGAAATGTTTCTTGGCGCATGGAGCTTATTCATTAAATTACGCGCGGACCCAATCTATTGGTCCGATATTCGCAGAGGTTGGCATTGCCAGTCCTACTCTTTAATAGGGTCAAATTAACTTGTCGAAGCAATCATTTGCTAATAATAATTGGAATTATTTTTTTTCAAAAACACCCACACATTTTGCTATGATGAGAATTCCATGTATTTTGTTATTTGCTTAGATCTGACAATGATTAGGTTGTTTACTGCATAATAATTTTGGTCATCTTCAATATGCAGCCGCTTGCTGCGAATTGTGCCAATTAGTCACGTACGTTTTGTGGTGGGTGTGAATTTTCTAAGGAAGGTGAATCATTTCGATCATCCCAGATGAGGTGGCTCACGTACACTCAGTTTAGAAAAAATGTTTTAACAAGTTTATTGACGGAGAAATTTTCAGCCTCCAGCAGAACACTGTGACCTGTGGCTTAAGGCACTAGCACAATCTACAATATAATAAGGTGGAAGATCCAATAACGGAATTATATTCTTACCAGTACTGAAAATTTTTAATTTAAACAGAAGTGACAAACTATGATTATTGTATTTTTTTTTCTTTGGGGAAAAATCATCTTAATCAATATGTATTTACAAAAAACTAGTATGCCGCTACATCGTTATAGTTGAATCTGGCGTCAACATTTTTGCTCTGTATGGCATGAGTGCACAAACCTTAATTAAAAGCGGGACGAAGCCATCGCAATCAGTATACAAAAAAATTAGATCAGTACTCACTGCAGTGAGTGACAGAGAGCGCATTTTATCGTCCGTCCGTAAAGTGAAGTCACGGACGGACAGTCATGCACGGACGGACGGACGGACATGACGAGCACAATAGCGCATTTTTTTCCATAAATGAGAAAACGCGCTAAAAATCATTACACGTCGCCTAAATAGCAGGTGTTTGGTGACAACCCATTTATCAAGAATTTACATGTAAAAATTCAATGTTCTATTTGGCATTCTGCAAGTGTCCTTATTAATTTTAGTAGCCTAAATGGACAAAATCATGAGCATAACAAACATTTAATGAGTTGACAACTAAGTGCGTTGTACAAAACAAGCTTGACACACTCGTATCTCCCTGGTGTTTTGAAGCGATATAGTCTGCCATTGCCGCGTTCCATATTTCTTCGTCAAGCGACAGGGCCTGCAGCAACAGCTCAAAAATGATTACTGGAACGACAAACCCGCGCTCGGATCTCCCCTGAATTGAAGGGGTCGTCTCTATCTTGCTGTTGTGCGCACGAAACTTTAGTGGATTCCATGCAAAATGATTGAGTTTAAGCTCACATTCATTTTAACTTCACTCTATCGGGAGAGCTCATGGGGGAGACAGATTCAGAGTCGGGAATACGTGCATAATTCAAGTCTAGACACTATTATAGTCCCAAACTATGGAAACTAAAGACTTTGAAGTGAAGCCATCGAATCAAGGAATATTAGCTGGCTCATAAACGTTTGCTAACTAACTTGAAAGTTCATAAAAAAAGTGATCTAAGACTTGTTGTCGGGAGAATCCGCCTATGAATTTTATTTGCTTCTAGACATCAGGGTTTGTACTGACGACAGATATACTGGAAATAAATTATTTGTTTCAATGTGTTTAATATCTCGCCAGTCTCGATTGCCTAAAGCTTTGAAGGCGTTTGTTTATAATTTCTAGGGCGTTTTATTTATTTCTTTACTCAAGTCATGACCTCAAACAGCGCCATTCCCAATCCCCCTTTTATTTTTCAAGGGTGAATTATGTGCGAACAAAAGTAATTGCTTGACGTTTCACGAGAGAAATTAAATTTCATGTTGTTTATTTCACATTAATAGGTTAATTAGCAGAATGAAATATTTAAATTTTAAAAAATTGGTTTCGGAAATGAATGCCTCTGCTGTGCATATGATTTGTCTTGCATTTAGGTGTATAAGATTACGCAGCTATGAAATATGTTTTCGGCATTTATATTAAAAATTGACATTTGTGTTCGAATTGTATATTTTATTGGTTGCAGATTCCAATTTTTGTTCCAGTTTGGATTGAATAAATCTACTTAAGCTCATTCAAAACGCATTAAGGTAATTCAACACGTTGATCAAGTAATAGGAAACGTATTCAATTTTTTCGCTCCTTGCAAGTCTTCGTTCTACCGGTAGCTGATAACGGGTCACTTCAGAAATGAATGCATAGTTGTTCATGAAATTGTTGAGTTGAAATTATGTCAGCATACAATAAAAATCATGAAAATATTACATTCAAGACGCGTAGGGGAATTTTATCAGAGGGAGAGAAGAAAATGCCTAAAATTTGGAAAAATAACAAGCATCCGTAAGTTGACTCCGGCGAATCAGGCACAAACTCGAAAACTTGCAGCACGAGATATATCAATATCCTGCCAAATTAAAACTTACATATATATATAACTACAACTATAACTATATAAAGTTTGTAAACTTAAATCACAAGTTTATCAATGATTTAAAAGCAAAGATAATGTCAAATAAATTCACTTATATCTTCTTTGAGAGCGTTCCGGAGACGAGCTCCATCATCAGTTAAAAAAATTCATAGAATGCATGTACAACCAGGATGGGAAATATTAAGCCTCCCTGCTGTGAGCCTTCACACTGAACAGTTCGACGTGACTGTGTCTGGGAGTTGATTTCAAGACATTCTGTTTCATCTCAGGTGGCTGTGATTTAAAGAATTTAGAATCGCTGCAGATTTTTAAACGGAAACCTTGTCTTAGTAACGCGTTAAGTTCTCATCCTCTTGAAATTGTAAATTGATAGTTTTTATGTTCCGTTGTCGTTTCATCATTACTATAATCGGTTTTTAGGGTTCGGTTTTCGTGTATATTTAGATTTTATGTTCTGATTGTACTTGCATTCTATAAATTTTTGAACTTATGATAGAGCTGATACGCGAAACGCTTCCAATATGGCGAATTTGCTTGGCGTTTTATACGCTTTAAAATTTTTTGTGAAATTAATATCGTTGACAGATAGGAAGATTAGTGACACCATGAGATTAGTCACAAACGTTGAACGTCCAAGCAACTATTATTGGCCGTAGGTGTGGCAAAAAATAAATGTTTTGAAATTACAATGTCAGTGCGACTGGTACTGTCAATACAACGAAAACTTTTTTCTGTTCATAAAACCAACGTCGGACGTTGATTAAGAAAGGAGAAGTACTTTTTTTAATGACCGCGAAATGGTATATTTACGAAAATAAATATATTTTGTTTAATTGAGTTTGTCGAATTTAATGATCTTTATTAATCAAATTAGAGATTTACTATCTGGATTGAATTTTGTTACTACTGAAATGTTAATCTAAACTATTTTCACTGCGTGTGGCGCGATCTAGCAAAGGTGAAGATTCAAATACAATTTAATTCCACCAATATTTCATGTCGCGAAGCAGCTGCATTTTAAGTTTATTGTCAGCAGAGAAAAAACAGGTGAATCAATACAATAAATCCATAAGTGTTATACGCCGTATTATACACCAACATTTAATAATGTTAGTCAACAAACGTAAATAATAATCTTAGAATTAAATAGATTCAACTGTTTTAGTTTTAAATTGTTGGTTAATAGAAAATCCACATTGCATATATCATCTGCGGTTTTACCGCTTTTACTCTCATTATATTGCATACTCACGTGTTTCCCTTCAGGCTGCACGGAAAAAAATGAAGCATTAATAAATAAACTCAGTGCAGGTTTTCGAGCATCTCCCACATAGAAAATAAGTATTGAATAGAAAACATTATGTAAAAATCTACGATCACATCAGGATCGGGCGATATTACAACTTTCATTTAAATATAGAATCTTACTCTAAAAAATGTTAGCAGATCAAAGAAAACGTTAGAGTGAATTTTAATCTTCACACGAATTCCTCATCTGTAACGTCATCCTATAGGTGCGTAGCTTGTGTTTTCGTTTTAGTAATCATCAAAATTCAATCTTCAGCACCGCCTCTTGATCACTTTTGTGAAGCAATCCCAGACCCAAAATTCCGTTACTCTAGCCTTCTTTTTCTAGTGCGCATTCGCTGCGAGAAGTACGACCTGTGAAGCGTTGTTGGAGCTTGCCGGAGTGACAAGCGAGGAGATGAAACTTGGGTGCAAACTTGCGAGATGAATGTTCTGTCTGCCGGCGCAACGTCCGCCAAGCACAATACCTTCGTTTCGGTGGGTTACATGAACCATGTAATGATTCCAACATTTTCAGCGAGAATTTAACGTAATTTTTCTTTGCAAATGTAACTTTGAAGCCGCTAATTAATCAGACAATTGTCGAGTTAAAAGTCTTTAACATAACTGAGTGCACGGAAATGTGTGAGTAATGAAAATACTTTCATATACTTGAATTATGAAATTTATTCAATCGTTATTGAAGAACTTGAGTTCAAACTTCGTATCGAGAATGTTTGGTTAGCTTGTATATCATTCCTGCACATGGTATTCAACATCTCTAACGCGCCACAATTGTCAGTGGCATAATACCTGCTCTCGTATTGTCTGTTTGTTGAAATGTTCAGCAGGTTGCAGGCATTGACTTCATCGCGCTAAGCTCCGCCATGCAGTTACTTAGCTCGGATTGTGCATCAGCGGCTCAGGAGGGGTCCTGTTGTTCGGGTAGTTACCGCAGCGTCGAGGACTCGAGGTGAAGGACGACCCAAATTGCATTTTCTGCCGCATTTTATTTCTATTATTTTTATTATGAAATAAATAGACACAAACAACGAAGCGAGGAACGTGAGGCTTCAAAAAAAACCTTTCAACGTTATTTTCACCGAGTAAAATTAAAAGTTGTTGTTGCTGGAAATAAATTAATTTCGTTAGCCGTCCTTCGCACGCCATCAATTTAATTTTAAGTCCATCATTAAGATTTTTTCCTGTGAATAATTTTGTCTTGAAAATGCTTTCCGTTCAGTCATATAAGTCATAAAAGCCCTGATGCATCCTAGCTTATTATAAAATGTGATTCATACAAAATTTTTCATTCTTATGTATGAAACATCGGGAAAGCGGTCATATATTTATTTAAAATTGTTCCAAATTTATAGAATAGAAATTTGATTGTCACTCGTATGTGATAATGAATTTCAAAATACTGATAATTTAGATATTTGGAATAGCGCTTTGATATTCGTATCATGATCGCTTTCACTTTAATGGTATCACTGATACGGCTGTTATAAAATTTCATTCTACCCTCAAATCACAAAGACTCCTTTATAAGTCTGTTCCGGGCACTAGAAAAGTATCAAAACAAGTTTTTTATTATAATAAAAGAATAATGGCGAGACCACTGATTATGACAACATAATCCTACGTAGAAGAGAGAATATGGTGAGCTTAGTAATAGAGGAACATGCGTATTATTGCAGCTGTTGGTCTGACGCGACAATAATCTATCCCAGCGTGTGAGTCCTTATATAAATACTCTGTTGACTGCAATTCGAGGGCTGAATCTGAGTTCGGCCTTTTTTACTTGACTTTTTTAAGCTATTCCACATCACACAGAAAATATGGAATGAAATGTGGGATTAGGATCAGAGTTTTTTTAGATGTTATTAATTTTTTTTTCTCATCGAATATTACTGATTCTATCGAGTTAAGGGCTGGAGCTTGATGCAAAAAAAAAAAAAACATTTTTTAGTGCTTCCAGAATATTTTGAGAATGCAATAAAATCTTCTCTAAATCATCATAAATTTTATTTTCTAAAGTTTAATAACTAAAAGAATTGAGTACGGAACGAATTTTGTCCAAAGCCGCCATTTATCGCAAAATGAATCAATTTTATTCCAATTGTTTGTTCACAAGCTCAATGTAATGGATTTTTTAAGACTCTTATTATCCGTCAATATGATAACTACATTTGACGAAATGCCTGTAAATATTTTCTGTATTCGCAGTGAGTAATGCTCATGTAAAGCAGGATTAAAAATTGATTATTCATCATATCAACAACCCAACCGTTCACTGCTCCGAAATTTTAATTGACGTGCAAATTTGATTAAAATCCTTTCATATATGAAGATTCGAACAATAACATTTTATCAATTCCCTAGCTGGTACATCTCCTATGCTCAATATCTATGCAGATTTTGGTCATTTCAATTAATACGAGCACCAGCAGCAAATAAGCCCTTTGGCTTGGACGCCCAGCAGCCATTTTACTACGAACTAAACTGCTGCATTCCAGAGGTGAAGGAATTGTTTATCACAATTTCTCTCAAACATTTCGAAAGAAAATAAAATGTATTAGTTTTTTCATTAGGTTAGCTTGGTGGCGTAACCTTGCATTACAGGAACAATGATTTTTCGGTTAGTAAACAAATGTGTTGTGAAGATTGAAAAGTGTATATAGTACAGCGCATAGTTGTAAACTGCTATAGCATAGCAGTTCTAGTATAGCATACTGTATAGTTGTGCAGTAGTGTCGTCAAACTGCCACTTTATTCGTTGTTTTTACTTCATATAAATATAAAAAAATTCTAGAATACCACCGAGACAAAAAGCTGCGAAAGAAAAATTAAACGAAAAAAAAATACTGAAGGCTCAGTTTCTTGAAGCGATATTCTTATTAAACAATTTTAAATTTATCACACTTGAAATTTAGCACTAATCTATGTTTTACACGGAGTTTGATTAAGTTGTTCAAATTAGTTTCGGTGCGTCCGTTGCCAAACTCCTAATTTAAATATTTAATTTTTTATAATATTTAATTTTAATTTATTTAATTTAATTAAATTTAATTAATATTTAATATCTAATTTAAATATTAAATAATTCTTAATTAATTAATTGTCGATTGTGCATTATAGATGTTTCATATTTTTTATTATAATTCATTGTTGCTACTTATGTATATTCTATAGCGACAAGAAATACGTAAAGCTTTTTCTTGTTATAAATTGCGTATATTTTCTTATTGAAATATATAAACTTATCGTTAATGGTTCCATACGCAATGCGTATTATAGGCACTCACGTCCAGATGCTGGCTGATGCTGTCGAAGGCAGGGTTGGAGATCTCCCTCTGTATCATAGGATGACTATGAACGCTCTGCATCATCACCATCATCACCACCATCACCAACCATGTCGCCACAGCCATCCTGCTGTTGTACGTCATTGTTTCACGGTGAATAATAACCACGATGTATATCTGGAAGGAGAAGCCAATAAAACAAAATTATCCACGGAAAATATTGTGCAAATGTAAAGAAAGTAATACTTTTCAAGAAAATAATAAAGGTTAGACCATTATTTAAGTATTATTGCTTATTGTTGCCAACTATGAGGTTAATAATTTTTAAAATTAGAATCATTATAATCCGTGCGATTATGCGAGTTAAAAAAGTTTCATGGTTGTATAATAAACATTGAACTTTTTTAAAAAAATCTTCCCTAGAAATCTTAACTGTTTATTGTACGCGATTAGATTTGCTTGTCAAATAACTAACAGGCAAATATTCGGATATTGTACCTACACGAGTAAGTCTGCCTGTTGCAGAACTTACTAGCAAATATTCGGATATTGTACACGATTAGACCAGCATGTTGCAGAACTTACTAGGAAATATTCGGATATTGTACACGATTAGGTCTGCATGTTGCAGAACTTACTAGCTGGGATCACACCTTGGAGTGAACCTCGCCTCGCTTGGCGCTCATTTCATTCCTTTGTTAATTAATAATAATATTTACTGTTGAACGCTCACATTTCATATATCAGGGAAACACAAGTCTGCTTTTCGGAGTTTTTCTATCCTGAGCATGTTCAAAATTATTTAAACAATCACAGTTAAGGAATAATTTGGAATTTTGGATCAAATTTACAAGTAGTCCGCGTTTCATTTTCCGTGAATATCTGCATTATAAACAATTATCTGTATTATAAACAAAGTGAGCCGTGATAATTATTGTGGGTATTGTAAGAAGACTTACAAATAGGCTCTTTCAGCGTTAAATGAAGGAATCCAACAAACAATATTTTATAAGCATAAAAAACGTTTCGGAGCTGGACTCCGAAACGTTTTCATTCTTAAGAAATGGTTAATATTCTGGCTGTTTTTTTGCTTTTAAATCCAACAAACAATATTTTATTAAGCCATAGGGCAAGCCTTAGATCATTCAAATAATATTCATCTATTATATATTTCAGAATGAAAAGTTATTGGTACTAAATAAGGCAATAAGAATTTAATTCAAAAGTGAGCGTTCCCGCAATTCCTGTCATATAGCAGGAAAAATTCAAGTTCCTGAGTTGATGAAGCTTGTATTCAGAATAACATTTTTCTAATTAACTCTGAAAAAGTTCACACATGAAAAATTTTCATTGGATTTATAGACTGTTAAGTGTTTATTTTACATCACAATTTCAAATTTCAGATTTACGAAAAACTTTAAATTTAGCAACATATCTCACTGTTGAAATTTCAGATCGATGTCGATATTTCAGATCTCCATGATTTATGACTGTGCATCGCAACATGAATGACATGAGAGGAAGTATTATCCCTATGAGAACGTGTGGAAGAGAGTGCAAATATATTCTCATTTAATACAAATAATCTAATGACCTTGACGTTCTCGTGTCAGGATGGTATCGTTAGACCGTCAATTATATTAGTTTATCTACATGAAACATTTTATCTCCGTTATGAAATAACGTGTGAAACACGTTGTTGTTAAGCAATGCATGAAAAACGTCAGAGCAGCTGATGAAAACAAAAATGAGCTTGAAAATTTCAGAAAAGTAGCTGTTCCGTCGTCCCATCGTAAATTAAATGCGATATTATAATACAATTGTTGGAGGCTTCCATACTACTTGAAAAGTAGACAAAAAATAACAATAATGTTTCCGTGGAAGGGTGTTAAATTTGACTGAACTCAGTTCAGAAATTTACTTCCGGAAACCTGTTGCTTCAGTAAATTGCCTTCGCGAATTCGTAACTTCTAAAAATTCATGTCGAGGTTGCGCCAGCTCTGCCAGTTGCAAGACGTAACCTATTTAAATGGAGCAGGCAAGCGAGTTCTCCTTTACTTGTGCCAGGCCAAAATTCTCGCATCGCTTGCATTGAATTTCAAGTAGAATTTTTAAATATTACGAACATTTCTTCAGTTCTATTTAAAATATTAAATATGTATGATATAATATGAACAAAGGATATGCATTTAATGCCTAAATTTCTAGACTCAAATCCAGATTTTAATTTGTCAGGAATTTAATCGAGAACTTAGAGTGTTAATCCAATAAAAGATGGCGAACAGTAAACACTTTATGCTGCTATCTGCATTTTTCGTATTTCTATGGCATATATATATTCAGCATTAAATATCATGAATAATTTTGTGACAATTTTACCGGTATTATATTATCATATTATTTTATCCTATTACTTTGTCATATTATTTTATCCTATTTTTTATCGTACCTAAAGCTCAGCTACCACGCGTAAGGGATGCAAAAATCTGTCCACGCTCGTCATCCACGCGGCAGCTATCACGAAGCAAGCAATGTATTCTGATCACAGGAAATTAAATGTAAACAGATCTGAAGAAAGTGATCCTGGGTAGGGGATTTATTCAGTCATTTCCTCGCTGCTACAGTATTAATCTCAGAACCAGATCCGCGCTGCCGCTTCTCTAAAAGAAACGTTGGTTTTTATACGGCTGCATTAAACTGATCGCTTTACTCAACGAAAATGTCAAATGAATGGCGTGGTTTCTTCCGACGTGAATTGTAGAGAAATGTCGTGAGTTTCTGAATTTAAGCTCTCGAGATAATACAGTTAATACAGGTGGATATTTTTTAAGACTTGATGTCAAAAAATTCAATACATTGTCTTATAAATTCAAATTTGTTCAAATATAACTCAGCTTAGAATCTTTGCTTTTCAATACCAGCGTGCGCACTGCACAAAAAACTATGTATTCATATAGATATAGTATTGTTATTGAGGGGAGGCTACGAATAAAAATAAGTATGGCAATAGCGCTTATGGAATTCAGAAAAAATTAATTTGATTTTCATTCGGAGCAAAATTTTGACTATTTATACGAGTCCTACCTCGAAGCGACCATAAAATATATTTACGAGGCGCTGGTTTCCAAGCTTCAGCGACCGCTTTCATTACGTGCGCCATAAGTGACTGCAATGATTTCCACGCCACCGTAAGAAGTTTACAGGCGCTTTTATCGCATGCTGGAAATATATAAGAGCTTTCCAGGATCTCCAGGCTATCGTCACCGAGAGTGCCGGAGTGATGAGGCAATTGAGCGGCCGAGCTCCGTGACTTGATAAGAAAACTTTGCCGTTATGCCGTCCCTTTTATCTGCATTGCGCCTGCATCTGCTTGTGGACGAGTTAAATAGAAAATACTTCCGAGCCAAAGCTGACAATAGAGTCAACTAAAACTCGGCCAAAATTACGTTCAGAAGCTCTGAGGATAGGAAAATTAAATTTCGATTTAAATGTAGCGAAAGAAATTTTTCATGGTAACAGATCTGCACTTACAACGAGACAGATAATGAAAATAATATAGTTCTTTTACAAAATTTTGGTCGTAACTCGTAATACTGTTAATGGAAAATAACTGATAGAACCTAGAGAGAATTTAGAGTTTGAACTAGTGCTTAGCTTAAAAACGGTGCACTGTGATAAAATTGCTGGTGAGAAATTCTTTAAATAGGCATCTGTCAGTAAATTGTGGACACACTCAAACAAGTTATGGGGCAATCTTATTATTCTGTTTCCTGCTCAAGCAACATGTTTAAATTTCATTGCCTAATCAGCTAAAACTTTATTGCCTAATCAGTTAAAACTTCATTGCCTAAGCCCTAATCAGTCTAAATTTCATTGACTATATATAATCAGTTGAACTTCATTGCCTAATCAGTTAAAACTTCATTGCCTACTCAGTTTGAACTTCATTGCCTAATCAGTTTAAACTTATTGCTTAATCCGTGCACATCACTAACACTTCAAGATCTGCTCCCTCTTATCATCATCACAAGCAAAGACCTGTTGCAATGGACATTGGGCTGCTCGGACGACACGACTCCTCAGATTTCTATGGAAATTAGATTGGAGTCTCAGGACTAGAAACATATTCGAATTGAAGTTGCAAGGACATCTTACTGGAAACTGCGCGTGCGAAACGGCTGCTGAAACTTATCTAGATTTTGTCGTAAACTTGTCTACGAAACTTGGCTAGATTTTGATTATTTTCCAGGATGGTATTTTTGCATTCTCAAGGTTTTTATTTTTGATATTAGTATGATTTCGTGGCGAATTCCAACGCGTTAAATTTTATATGAAAAAATTACAACTGGAACTATGGAAAAAATGCACAAAATATGAATAACTCATAAACTTTTTACCTAGGGTACCTTCATTGGAACCATATTAGATTTTCGGTTCGTTTTCATTCGCCATTAGCGGGTTATAGAGGAATTGATTCTATTAGTTTGGTAAAAGTGACAGCGCCGCGCAGCTTTTACGGTTTCCCCTGACCCAAGCTCATTCACCGCATGGATTGTCTGATAATAGAGTCTCTTTACATAGCTTCACATTTAAGAATAACTTTATATAGCTTTATATTTAGGATTAACTTTATATTTTTGTTAATGGAAGAATTAGTAGTAATATGATAGTCCAAATTGAGTTAATTATCTGCTGGAAAATCCGAATTGTGCCTGAGAAGTACCACCCAGAAAACGTTTTAGAAAAATTATTATGCGACTTGATCAAGTAATCTACAACAACAAAGACAAGTCTTCCATAAAGTTTGACTCAATTAAGTCTGTCTCCGACTGGTTATTAAATTATGGTTGAGGAGACCAATAATACCACAAAAGACCAACACTTTACACTCTTCAAGCACTTTACTTGAATAATATTAACAAAGACACTGGCAATGATAAATTAATGAATGAATGATTGTAGTGTGTGCTTATTAATTATCAGAGCCTGGCAACACCTTTGTTGAATGATTGCAATGTGTCCAAAGTAATGGCGTCCGATGGCATTACACTCAAACAACTAATACAATTTCAGCAGTGGAATGCGAACTATGGAGCAGAATAGCTTAATTTGCCTCAAATGCGGCTAGCAGCAGCAGGCCATGCTGAGGCGTTGCACGGAAATTGCCTTACGCCTCG